AGAATCCAATTCAGCAAGTTACCGAATTTATTATACTTTTTCAATTCCTAAAATACACCCAACTAAGAGATTATTGTATTTTGTATATTAATGTAGGAACCAATATAGAATTTTTTTAAATTGGAGGGTAACTAATAACACACGTTGAATTTGGAAAGATTTCCAAATAGATGTGGGAATTAATTTGAAAATGTTTTTAAAATTTAAACAATAAATTCATATTTAACATACCTAATACCATTTAAAACAATACATAATACCCTTGTCGATAGCTCATCACAAACCGACTAATTCTATATTTATATTCCCTTCTTTTTCTTTTTTGATACTTGTAATTAGGTTGATATGTTGGTTGAGTACACTTGAGTACCCTGTGGTTACACCCTTAAGACATGTTAATCCTTACATACCCAGCTCAACCACCATCACCACCCAATCTAACCGCACTGTGGAATGTTGGGGGTCTTACGGTACTGAGAGTAAGATTGGCAGAAAGGAAAAGAGAAAAGAAATGAAATGCTCAGAAATATTTCCTGTCATTCATAATTCCTTTTCCCAAGGAAGAGAAGGTTTAATACATTCCTAATACAAAAGGCGTGAACCCCTGATGTCGGCCAAAAGCTTATACTATGACAATTGATAAAATAGTAAATTAGATATGGTGGCAAAGCCCACCAAGAAATGAGGCCCGGCCCAATCATGAAGTGTAACATGGAACCAGGGAGAGGTGGGTTGATGAGATTCATGCCATGAAAGGAAGGAGGAGTTGGAGTGAAAAAGAGGGAAGGAGAAGAAAAGAGAAAGGAGAGAAGAGGAAGAAGGAAAGAAAAAGGAACTCCAAGCATCAAAGCCAAGATCAAGGGTAAAAAAAGAGAATACTAATTAAATATGAAACTACGTACTGACATCCATGTATTCCGAATCTCTTCCATCTTTTCATTGATCTCTTTAAGTACCGAAACTGTTTCTCTATATGTAGAGATATAGTTACATATAAACCCCCAAGGATAACACTGAGGCAATGTATGATTCCAAAAACAAAAATAGATCCTCCACCACAATTTTCCCTAACAATTTGATGGTTCACATCAATAAAAAAGAAAGGATAAAATCAACTACCAAATGCTGATCCAATGCATGCGTGCCATATTTGTCACATTATCCAACTCAGAGTACACTAGAAGAATAATGCAAATAGAGAACTATTGCAACTTTATTCAATGAAAATTTGTAAACCAAGGCAGACTGGATGTGCTCACAAAATGCAATAAGATTACCTAAGGAAAAACTTAGAACTTGTAAGTTCTTTAGCTAGACTCTAATATCACAACCTTTTTTAAATACTAAATATTAAATACTAAATATTCCAGATGTTCCAGCGGCGATGGAGTTTCACATCAAACAACCATTTAATTCGTTGCCTCCAAAACATTAGTACCTACCACACGATTAAACAAAACAAAACAATTAATAGAGAAACTGATAAAAAAGAAGCAATTAATACCACAAACATAAGACTGTAAAAACTCCAAAACAGAGGATGGTGTAAAGAGTTACCACAGAATACTATAGCTAAAGCATAGTGAGATTTACACAGTTTTCATCATATTTCTATATGCAGTCAGGTTAACTGGAATTAGATATTAAAATAATCACAAATATTGTGAGAAGTAGGAAATTAAGACTGTTAATTACTTCTTTTACTTTTTTTTTTTTTTTTTTTTTTTTTTTTAATAAGAAGTTAATAACTTGTTGTACCAGTTCTAACATGGCAGAACAAAACTAGGGTTTGTTTAATATCGATGTTGAATATGATTGAGGATTTCTTCTTCTTCCAATTTAATAAGCAAGCACTTTAAGGTGTTATTCATTACATATATAGCTAAAAAAAAAAAAAAAAAAAAAAAAAAAAAAAAAAAAAAAAATTATTATGTATGCAAACAAAAATAATAAAAACAAAAATAACAAAGGAAAGTAGGATTAAGCAATATATACCAGGAAACTTTGGGCATGTGGATCGGTTTATCTTTTAGGAATATTTTCCAAATTATGCCGCTTAATCTCCCTGTTGAAATTTGATTTTGCATACAAAACATATCAAATTGTAATTACAAAAAGTTTAAATTAGACAACTTTATAGCAGAAAAAAGCATCATAATATTAAGAATTAATGCTTGGAACTGAAACTAAAATATAACAATATATGATGAAGGGGAAACTACCTGCTCTTCCTCAATTCTTCCAGATTTTGATTAAACGCTCTTCGTCTTTTTAAGTCCCCTTTACGCAGAAGGTGATCACCAATGGCGGTCCCAAGAAGAAATGTGAAAAACCATGAGATGAGTTCTTTCATCCTCTTGGCTGCAAAAGCTATAGAGTTCTCGATATATAGATGTGCCAAATTATATAAATACAACCCAATTACGAAAAGAGTATATTTTATATATGTTTGCCAGAGCTAGGGTTTTCGTTACGAGCTAGAGTATGTGGTTTTTTTTATGGGAAGTTATAAATTACTTTTCTTTCGTATCAAGAAATCTTTCTTTTCTTTTCTAGTAAGTGAAAAAATCTTTCTTCTTTTCGTATCAAGAATATTCTGATAACAATGGGTGGTTCTCCTCCGGGTGTGGTTTTTTTTTTTTTTTTTTTTTTTTTTTTTTTTTTTTTTTTTAATGTCTAAGCTAAGCAAACACACACAATAATTTTGCTTTGTGCGCACAAAGTTGTATTTACTAATGAGGTTGATTTTGCTTTGTGCACGCACACACTCTGTTTTTCTTTTAATTACCTGTTCTGCAAATTCTTAATTTTTTTTTTATCATTTGAGCTTGACCAAAGTGCAACAAAGCACAATATAGCAAACTTAGCAGGTTTTTACGCAAAGTATGTTGGTTTTTGCAAGGCATTGCAAATATATGTTTGAGTTGAAGTTAGTCTCGCATTGGAAAATTATAGTTCCTTGAAGGTCTTCATAAGACCTACTCTTGGAAATAGAATAATTAGAATTGGGCTATGCAAGTGACCTAATTAAGTGGCTTGTTGGGTTTGGCCTTTGGGTCAATGCTTAATTAATTGGGTTAATGGGTAATTAATATATATTTAATTAGTCAAAAGATGGGCATTGGGCTCTGTGATTTAAAATTAAACCCAATTAATGAAATTAATTTCGAGTTAATTATTTAATTAATTATTTGAATTATTTTTTAAATTTTAAATATTACATAAGTTTGTCTGATTGGGTTTGACCGTTATATGATACATGTTCCAACAGGTATTATCCCTCTATATAAACAGGAGCCCTGGTTCTATTTGATACACATCAAAAACGCAGATTTCATTCTAAGTCATATTCAATTTCGTGAATTTGTTTATTGTTTAATTTCGTGAAAAATTAGTCAATTTTATTTTAATGTTTTATTTAATTATTTGTTGAATTACATTATTAGTGTAATACTGATTGTTGTTTCACCACCAAAGTATAGTTAGCCCATTCCATTTTTAAAATTATGGGTTTGTCCATGTATCAATATATATAAAGCAAAAGGTAGAGAATGGTAAAACATTCAAAATGCCAAAAACTACCCTTGGTTAATTCAAACATTAAGAATTGAAATTATTAATCAAATGAGGATAATATTGTAAATTCACATTTTACATATTAAAAAATTAAAATTAAAAACAAAATCAGATAATAGGTCATACTTTTATGGAACATAACTACCCATGTTATCTTTTCTTAATTCTAAAAATAAAATTTAAAAAATAAAAAAAAATAAAAAAAATAAAAAAAAACCAATTGGCACGCATGTGCCAAGGGGCCTGTACATGTAAATGCCAAAACAATTATAAGTGGCCGCTAGAGAAATGCCAAACTTGATCTAAGCCTCCAAATATATCCTAACTACAATACCACTGCACTGATTAACATTTGATGGAAAACAAAATAATAAGATGAGTTTGCAGCTCTAGCAGGAGTGATGCGCGATTTTTGAGACACTAGAAGAAGTCCCAAAAGTTCTTCCACGCATCATAGTCTTTGAAGAAGACGTCCATGTCGCGACCAACAAGTGCTATAAACTCTTCATGGCTATCAACACGTACAAGGCAAGGCAAATTGGAATATTAATCTTTGAGGTTTTCCTCAGCAAACTCAAAGCACCAAAGTCAAGATCAAGGTAAAAAAAAGATTGCTAAATTAAATATGAAACTTCATATTGACCTCCACGTATTCCAAATCTCTTCCATCTTTTCATTAATTTCTCTAAGTACCGAAGTTGTTTCTCTATATGTAGAGATATAGTTACATATAAACTTAAAGAAGGACGATCCCATCAGTCCCAACACCAGAGTTGAAATATATTTCGTTGCCATTAATTAAGAATAGGAAAAATTTAAAGTTGGGGAGATTTTTTTTGGGTAGATGAAGAAAAGTGAGAAGACTTAAACAAGTGCTCAAAGTAGCAAAAGTATATATTCTGTGAGAGTTTAGGGCTTGGCGCTAGTGACTCATGTTGATCACAAGATGAACGTATATATACGTATGTTTGAGCTTGGATCCTAGACTAGTGCGACAAATAAATAAATAAAATTATTTATCTTTTCCTTCAAGAAAAGCAAAAGTAGGGTAGGGCTCCTCTGCCGCAGTTTCCTCCTTAGACATTGAATCCATATATTTGATTGTGATTCTAGTATGAAATTATTCTTACCTATTAGGTTTTGTCTCCCTATTTGTAATTACTAATGTAATTTAGCACCAGTTCACGTCTTTCCCTTTTTGGTACTTGTAATTAGGTTGTTTTATAACTATCACAATAACACATATAATTGCAAAAGATATGGATGCGATGCAATCGGGAACCTAATTGCAAAACTGGAAAAGCTAACATAACATTGATTGAGATGAAAATTATGTAAACTATTGGTAGATAGTTTAGAAACTAGAATTAATTAGTACATTGGGAAATAGCTAGGTGATACTAATACTATTGGTAGATAGCTGCTCAAGAGGAGAGGAGAACCACCACAACCACCACTGGAGGAGGAGAAGGGGGTGCTTGGCATGCCGCCTCCGCCGCCGCTGCCGCTTCCTCTTCCCCCACTTGTGCTGCCACCGCCGCTGCTGCCGCCTCCTCCGCTTGAGCTGCAGCTGCCACTGCTGCTGCTGCCGCCTCCTCAGCTTGAACTGCAGCTGCCACCGCCGCCGCTTGAACTGCAGCTGCCGCCGCTGCCCTTTGCCCTTGTGCTTTGGCAATAAAAGCACAAGAGGCGGCCGTCGCAACCCAAGAGAGCACGCTAACTCCAACGGTGCACAATGCCCCTACCTTCCAATCATGCGCAAATTGGACGATTCCATGGATTTTTCCAAAGTCACTGCTCACTTTTTTCCAAAGTTGTTTCACCGGATTCATTTTTCTTCTCTCTCTCTCTCTCTCTCTCTCCTTTCTCTCCTTTCTCTTCTTTCCGGTCATGTTTTATGCTTGTTGTTGGTGTATAAAATTTCAAGCAAACCTCTAGAGTCTCTATAGTAGAGAGGTAGGGAGCAAGGGGGTCAGCTGTGCGCAGCCAAAGCCCAGAGGAAGAGCAGCACTGTCGTTCCCCATTTGGTTGAACCTGAACATTTGTTTTTGAAAAATAAATATATACAATTACTATTTACCGAAAGACAATCATTATACTCTAATGTCCAAGTCTAGTTTTTCTCTTTTTAGGTTCTTGATGGCAACCCCTCCAAACGTATAATTCATTAGTTGGCAAGAAACATCTATAAATTAAAATTTGATTCTTTTTCAACATTAAAGTATCAGACTTCTCTTCCTTATTCTTCCGCATGGTCGCAACCGGGGAGGCCACGCTCACTCCAACAGTACATAGTGCCCACACCTTCCAATTATCCACAAATGGCACGATTTCATGGTCTCAGGTAAGTCACCACTGACTGTCTTCCAAAGCTATTTCACTCCGTTCATTTTTCTTCTTTACCTTCTCTCCCTCTCTCCTCTTTCTCTTTTCCCATTCATCTTTTATGCTGGTTAGTCTTATAGTTGAGATAGGAGGTAGGGAACAAGGTTTTTGCTTCAGTTATGCACCCAAAATACAGAGGAACAACGACAGTCGTTTCCTCATTCGGATGAATTTGAGTCTTTTGTTTTTCCAACCAACTTAGGTAAGTCACCACTGATTGTCTTCCAAAGCTATTTCACCTCGTTCATTTTTCTTCTTTCCCTTATCTCTCTATCTCCTCTTTCTCTTCTTTCCATTCATCTATTATTCATATATTTATATATACAATTACTATTTCTAGTAAGAAAGAGGCATTTCATTATGACGAAAGTCAACTCCTGTGCTATGGCAATAAAAGCACAAGAGGCGGCCGTCGCAACTGAAGCGGTCACGCTTACCCCAACGGTACACAATGCCCTTACCTTCCAATTATCCACAAATTGCATAATTTCATGGATTTTCCCCAAACCAACTTAGGTAAGTCACCACTGACTGTTTTCCAAAGTTATTTTACCCCGTTCATTTTTCTTCTTTACCTTCTCTCCCTCTCTCCTCTTTTTTATTTTCCATTCATCTTTTATGCTGGTTAGTTTATAAAATTTCTAGCAATAGAACTTCTATAGTTGAGATAGGAGGTAGGGAACATGATTTTTGCTTCAGTTGTGCACCCAAAATACAGAGGAACAACGACAGTCGTTTCCTCATTCGGGTGAATTTGAGTCTGTTGTTTTTTCAACAAACTTAGGTAAGTCACCACTAACTGTCTTCCAAAGCTATTTCACCCCGTTCATTTTTCTTCTTTCCCTTATCTCTTTTTCTCTCCTCTTTCTCTTCTTTCCATTCATCTATTATTCATATATTTATATATACAATTACTATTTCTACTAGGAAAGAGACATTTCATTATGACGAAAGTCAACTCCTGTGCTATGGCAATAAAAGCACAAGAGGAGGCCGTCGCAACCGAAGCGGTCACGCTCATCCCAACGGTACACAATGCCCTTACCTTCCAATTATCCACAAATTGCACAATTTCATGGATTTTTCCAAACCAACTTAGGTAAGTCACCACTGACTGTCTTCAGAAGCTATTTTACCCCATTTATTTTTCTTCTTTACCTTCTCTCCCACTCTCCTCTTTCTTTTTTTCTATTCATCTTTTATGCTGGTTTGTCTATAAAATTTCAAGCAATAAAACCCCTATAGTTGAGATAGGAGGTAGGGAACAAGGTTTTGCTTCAGTTGCGCACCCAAAATATAGAGGAACAACGACAGTCGTTTCCTCATTCGGGTGAATTTGAGTCTTTTGTTTTTAAAATATATACATATATTTGTATATACAAGTACTATTTCTAGGAGGAGAAAGACCTTTCATTAGGACGAAAGTCAACCCTTGTGCTTTGGCAATAAAAGCACAAGAGGCGGCCGTCGCAACCGAGGAGGCCAAGCTCACCCCAGCGGTACACAATGCCCTCACCTTCCAACTATCCACAAATTGCACAATTTCATGTATTTTTCAAACCAACTTTGGTAAGTCACCACTAACTGTATTCCAAAGCTATTTTACCCCGTTCATTTTTCTTCTTTCCCTTTTCTCCCTCTCTCATCTTTCTCTTCTTTCCATTCATCTTTTATGCTGGTTAGTCCATAAAATTTCAAGCAATAAAATCTCTATAATAGAGATAGGAGGTAGGGAGCAAGATTTCTGCTTTCGCTGTGCAGCCAAAATACAGAGGAACAACGACGGTCGTTTCCTCATTTGGGAGAATTTGAGTCTTTTGTTTTTGAAATATATACATATATTTGTATATACAAGTACTATTTGTAGAAGGAGAGAGAACTTTCGTTATGACGAAAATCAACCCCTGTGCTTTGGCAATAATAGCACAAGAGGCGGCCGTCGCAACCGATGTGGCCAAGCTCACCCTAACGGTACATGGTGTCCTTACCTTCCGATTATCCACAAATGGCACAATTTTATGTTTTTTTCTTATCAACTCAGGTAAGTCACCACTGACTGTCTTCCAAAGCTATTTCACCCTGTTCATTTTTCTTCTTTCACTTCTCTCTCTCTCTCTCTCTCTCTCTCGCTCTCTCTCTTCTTTCCATTCATCTTTTATGCTGGTTAGTTTATAAAATTTCAAGCAATAAAACCTCTATAGTAGAGATAGGAGGTATGGAGCAAGGTTTCTGCTTTAGCTGTGCAGCCAAAATACAGAGGAACATCGACAGTCGTTTCCTCATTCGGGTGAATTTGAGTCTTTGTTTTTTTAAACATATACATATATTTATATATACAATTACTTTTTTTTGGGAGGAGAGACCTTTCATTATGACGAAAGTCAATCCTTTCATTATTAAATTTAAATCAAACATTTTTTTTATTTTCAAATATTGGACTGATTTCTAGCCTAAGGGCAGGTGTACTAAGTCAACCATTCCCTAAAACAAATTGTAAAGAAAGTGAACGGTAAGTTTCATTCGTAGCCTCTCAACACTCCTGAATACACAGAAACGGAAAGGAAAACTTAATTGGGGAAATAGCTAAGTGATATTAACAAAAGGGGTTGCTTCCTAATACTATCTATTATTGTAGATATAGGTCTTGGTAGATAGCTGTTCAGGAGAGGAGAATCACCACTACCACTACCACAGGAGGAGGAGGAGGAGGAGAAAGGGATGCTTGGCCTGCCGCCTCCGCCGCCTCTCCCACTTCCGACACCTCTTCCTCTTCCGCCAACTCTTCCGCTTCCTCCACTTTCGCTGCCACCGTAGCTTGAATTGCAGCTGCCGCAGCCGCCCTTTCCTCTTATGCTTTGGCAATAGAAGTACAAGAGGTGACCGTCGCAACCGGGGAGGCCACGCTCACTCCAACAGTACATAGTGCCCACACCTTCCAATTATCCACAAATGGCACGATTTCATGGATTTTTCCAACCAACTCAGGTAAGTCACCACTGACTGTCTTCCAAAGCTATTTCACTCCGTTCATTTTTCTTATTTCCCTTCTCTCTCTCCTCTTTCCATTCATCTTTTATGCTGGTTAGTCTATAAAATTTCAAGCAATAAAATCTCTATAGTAGATATAGGAGGTAGGGAGCAAGGTTTCTGCTTCAGTTATGCAGCCAAAATACAAAGGAACAGCAACGGTCGTTTCCTCATTCGGTTGAATTTGAGTCTTTGTTTTTGAAATATATACATATATTTATATATACAACTACTATTTCTAGGAGGAGAGAGACCTTTCATTATGACGAAACTCAACCGTTTCATTATTCAATTTACATCAAACATTTTTTTTTTCATTTTTTTTCTTTTCAAATATTGGACTGATTTCTAACCTAAAGGTATGTGTACTAAGTCAACCCTTCCTTAAAACAAATTGTAAAGAAAGTTAATTGTAAGTTTCATTCGTAGCCTCTCAACACTCCTGAATACACGGAAACGAAAAAGAAAACTTAATTGGGGAAATAGCTAGGTGATACTAACAAAAGAGGTTGGTTCTTAACACTATCTATTATTGTAGATATAGGTCTTGGTAGATAGTTGCTCATGAGAAGAGAACCACCACTACCACCACCACAGGAGGTGGAGAAGGATGAGGGGGTGCGTGGCCTGCTGCCTCCGCCACCTCTCCCACTTCCGACACATCTTCCTCTTCTGCCACTTGCACTGCGGCCGCCGTCCTTTCCCCCTGTGCTTTGGCAATAAAAGCATAAGGGGCGGCCGTCACAACTGAAGAGGTCATGCTCACCCCAACGGTACACAGTGCCCTCACCTTCCAATTATCCACAAATTGCACAATTTCATGGATTTTTCCAACCAACTCAAGTAAGTCACCACTGACTGTCTTCCTAAGCTATTTCACCCTGTTCATTTTTCTTCTTTCCCTTCTCTCTCTCTCTCTCTCTCTCTCTCTCTCTCTCTCTCTCTCTTCTTTCAATTCGTCTTTTATGTTAGTTGGTCTATAAAATTTCAAGCAATAAAACCTCTATAGTAGAGATAGAAGGTAGGGAGCAAGGTTCCTACTTCAACTGTGCAGCCAAAATACGTAGGAACAGCGACGGTCGTTTCCTCATTTGGGTGAATTTGAGTCTTTGTTTTTGAAATATATATATATTTATATTCAATTACTATTTCTTGGAGGAGAAAGACCTTTCATTTTGGTGAAAGTCAACCCTTTCATTATTCAATTTAAATCCAACATTTTTTTCATTTTCAAATATTGGACTGATTTCTAGTTTAAGGATAGGTGTACTAAGTCAACCATTCCTTAGTTTAATTTACACCCAACATTAATTTTATTATTTATTTTTAAAGGGTAAATTACTCAAATGGTCCTCAAACTTATACCTTATTTACATTTTGGTCCCTCAACTAAATTATTCGTTCAAATGGTCCATCAACTCTATATTATTCGCTCCAGTGGTCCAACCGTCTAATTTTTTGTCAGATTTAACCTAACTTTAGGGTAAATAATGATCAATTTGCCCGCATATTTAGTGAAAATATTGACAAAATGTAACGGTAGGACCAATATAGCGAATAATATAGAGTTGATGGACCATTTGAACGAATAATTTAGTTGAGGGACCAAAATGTAAAACAGGTATAAGTTTGAGGAACATTTGAATAATTTACCCTATTTTTAAATTTTAAATTTTGGATTGATAGGCTTAAGAAGTATGACAAGTATCTTTGTTGAGGTTAAGATTATATTCTTGTAGTTTATACTTCTGGCTACTAGTAAAAAAGTTTGAAGTAACCAATCTTTGCACTATCTCACATTGTCTCACACATTTTCAAATTTTACATTGTTCACTTGTCATACTGAATTCATCTTGAGCACCTTTACCAAAAGCAGTAAGTTTTGATATATGAGAATAAATAATATTTACCTTTGTTTTGAATAAATAAATACAAGCATGTTGTGAATAAAAGCCTTGATTTTTGTTGTGAAGGATTGCTTAGCTTTCATTGTCTTATATATGTATTGACTTTACTGTCTTGTTCGCATCCTATGTGGCTTTCATATGTTTTTCATTGGTGATGGCCAGAGTGGGGTTAATGCTATTTTCTTTTCCTATGATTTTGTTCGCATCCGGAATGAATGGTGATTTAAGATGAATAGTGTTTTTGGATGAATAGCGACTGAATAATATCTCGAGATGAATAGTAACTTTCGGAAATGTGGGTGATTATGGCGGAGGGGCATGAGAGGAAAAGAGAGAGGAAGGTTTTTGAAGTGTTTAGGTTTGAGGAAAATGAATGAGAGAGGGGTATTTATAGAATACTCGAAAAATTCGATTTTATTTTATTTTTTTGACTTTTGTATTGGGCTTTTATATAACATGACCCTCAAGAAATCAAAATATGAACTTCAAGAATTCAAAACATGAACTTCAAGAGCATTGCAATAAGTCAAAACATGAACTTCAAGAATTCAACACATGAACTTCATATAATCAAAACATAAACTTCAAGAGCATTGAAACAAGTCAAAACAAGAACTTCAAAAAATCAAAACATGAACTTTAAGAATTCAAAACATAAACTTCAAGAATTCAAAACATAAACTTCAAGAGCATTGAAACAAGTCAAAACATGAACTTCAAAAAATCAAAACATGAACTTCAAGAATTCAAAACATGAACTTCAAGAAATAAAAACATGAACTTCAAAAAATCAAAACATGAACTTCAAGAATTCAAAACATGAACTTCAAGAAATAAAAACATGAACTTCAAGAATTCAAATGTAACACCCCGACTCCAAATTTATCCCATGTTTTAATTAATTTGAGTGGAATTACGAATTTACCCTTGGGATAGGGGTAATTTGGTCATTTCTTATCCGGAAGGAATTTGGGAATTCCGACTGTATCGTTGCGTAGAGCACAGTGAGATGAGTCTGTAGACATGAAGTGGGCTCGAATTGGAGTTGTAACGAGAGAGTTACGATCAAATGAAACTCAATGGCATAATCGTAATTATTTGAAAGAGGGATTTTTGATAAAAAGTCGAAAATGCCTTAAGATCTCTCTCTCTCTCTCTCTCTCTCCGCGTGTCTCTCTCTCTCCCTCCCTGTTGCGAAATCCACCCCCCCCCCCCCCCCCCCCCCCCCCCTGATTACTGCAGCCGCGCGCTTCACCGGCTGCCACCGCCACCTCTGGCCACCACCTGGGTCGGGACCGGTCCCAAACTGACCGGCTTGACTTCGCCGTCCTTCCCCACCTGCTCTTCGATGCCAGCCGGCAGCGACGTCGCTGGATTTTGCAGAAAACCGACCGGATCGAGAGGAAAATTCCAGCCGCTCGTTCTCCGTCGTCCAGCCGCCATTTTTGGCAATCCAGGTATGGAAATCTATCTACTCCTCGAGCTCTAGCTGATGGTTGAGTAGGATTGTCACGATTTTGAGGGTAGATTGTCTGATTTTCGAATTAGGGTTCGACCGGTTGTTGGATTGCATTTCCGCCCACTACCAACCATTTTTCGAGGTATGTCCAAGAAAAAAAGTGGCTCAGAATAGGGTTTTACATCTAGGATAGGAAGCTTGGCTGGCGGTTTGGAGTTTTCCGGCCACCAGAAATTACTCAAGGCACCCACGCACTGCCGGCGCGTGTGGCGGCGTGTGGGCTAGGAAAATGGACCGGCTCGAGGTTCTAAAATGATCTCCTGGTTCTCACGAGTGCGTAGGATTTCGCAGATCTCAATTTGGATATCGTTAGAGTCCCGAACGGATATCGCATATCGCGCATTATCCAGGTTCGCTAGGTTTGGACCGTTGGATGGTCTTGAGTTTATTATAGATTAATTTGGACATCCTTAGGATCGTGTAGGATTTGACGGATCGTAAAACGGAGTCCCGGATACTCTGGAAATGCCAACCCTAAGGTTAGGGTTTTAGTAACCGTCTGATCGTGTGATCGTGAGCGATCCGACCGTCCGATCTGGACCAAACTTGCAGGACGTGTGTCCTAGACCTTGTAGAACCTATAGGGACTGTCAGATTGAAATTTGGAGGGCGTGGGCCGCGGGCCCGGTTGACCAAGGTTGGGTAGTTTGACCTGGGTTGACCGTGAGACTTCCTAGGTAGTGTTACCTTCCTAGGAAGATTAAAATGGCCGTAGTGACAGGCCTTGATTGTATGTTGGTTATGTGGGTTAGGATATCAATTTATGGTGATAAATTGGGGAGGTTTATCAGATGCTTTATTGGTTGAGATGTTTATAGTATTAGAAAATTATTATATATATTTTATGTGGGGATATAAAAGTATAAAAAGAGTTAGAATGTTAGTTTGGAGTGCTATACGCACTACCCTAGGTACCCCCAGGATATTGATGATACTGTAAGTACCACCCTATGTGTGTTGTGAGGTCGCACGTGTCGTAGGAGTAGTCGGCGTGTTGACAGACCCCATACGTGGCCGGATGCGTCCCGACGTATGAGGGGAGATATTATTGTGTGCGGGCTGATGAGAATGTAGCCAGGCCCAAAGTTGAGGTCGCATGTGTCGTAGGAGTAGCCGGCGTGTTGACAGACCCCATACAAGGCCAGGTGCGTCCCGTCGTATGTGGAGTGATTGTGATTGTGATTGTGTTGTGAGGTCGCACGTGTCGTAGGAGTAGCCGGTGTGTTGACAGACCCCATACGTGGCCGGGTGCGTTCCGACGTATGAGGGGAGATATTATTGTGTGCGGGCTTATGAGAATGTAGCCAGGCCCAAAGTTGAGGTCGCATGTGTCGTAGGAGTAGCCGGCGTGTTGACAGACCACATACAAGGCCGGGTGCGTCCCGTCGTATGTGGAGTGATTGTGATTGTGTTGTGAGGTCGCACGTGTCGTAGGAGTAGCCGGTGTGTTGACAGACCACATACGTGGCCGGGTGCGTCCCGTCGTATGAGGGGAGATTGTATTGAGGTCGCACGTGTCGTAGGAGTAGCCGGCGTGTTGACAGACCCCATACGAGGCCGGGTGCGTCCCATCGTATGTGGAGTGATTGTGATTGTGTTGTGAGGTCGCGCGTGTCGTAGGAGTAGCCGGTGTGTTGACAGACCCCATACATGGCCGGGTGCGTTCCGACGTATGAGGGGAGATATGATTGTGTGCGGGCTGGTGAGAATGTAGCCAGGCCCAAACTTGAGGTCGCATGTGTCGTAGGAGTAGCCGGCGTGTTGACAGACCCCATACGTGGCCGGGTGCGTCCCGTCGTATGGGGAGTTATTGTGATACTTGTGAGGTCACACATGTCGTAGGAGTAGCCGGCGTGTTGACAGACCCCATACGTGGCCGGGTGCGTCCCGACGTATGAGGGGAGATATGATTGTGTGCGGACTGGTGAGAATGTAGCCAGGCCCATAGCGGACAGTTAGATGGCTGGTGAGAATGTAGCCAGGCCCAAAGCAGACAGTGAGACATGATGATGAGGTCCCACGTATCGTAGGATTATTTCCGGCGTGCGGACATGCCCCATACGCGACTTTGGATGTTCCGGCGTATGGGGAGATTATGTGAGTTTTTAGGAGATAAATTAAGTTTTGTGATTGGTGAGTTGTGATCCCTTAGTAGAGGGTGTTAGTGAAAGAGCTATGTGTGGCTTGATCCCTTAGTAGGGTACGTAGGCAGCCTGGGATAGCGCCTAGGTGCAGCCACGGCCTAGACACCACTTAGGTGGTTTTATCGAGTGTGATGCGGACCTCGTGGTTGGTCCCGAGACTTGGTTGAATCGAGGCTCGTTCGGTGGGCTAAGTGAGTATGATTGTGGTTCGGTTAGGTTTGAGATCCTGGTTGGATTGTTGAACGGTTTAGACTGAGGCCCCAAACTAATTGTGATAGTGATAGGAGGTTAAAACCTCGCGTGTTGGTTGTTGGATGATTAGATAGTTGTTTGCTCTTTCGTTTGACTACGAGAGGGTGGTGTTAATGTGTTGTGATTGGATTAGGGCAAGACCCGTTTGGGATAGCTGTATGCTTTGGGTTGGGACCCTAAACTTTTTGTGTTTGTAGCTTGCTTTGGATTATCAGAAGGCCAGAGGCCATTTATGTGAATTGCATGTTGTTATATTGTGCATGCTGCCGGTTGGATTATATCATATGTGAATTTTATGCAAGTTGAACATTTGGGGAATGTTCAATTTATAGGGGAGACTCTGCCGAATTTTCGGCAAAAAGTCTCGTGCCCTTACTCTTTTAAGAGAAAGAGGTTACAGTTTGCAGAAGTGGGCCCGACATCGGGGTGATGTCGGGAATTCCACAGGGTTCGTCTCGAGTTACGGGAAATTCGGGACGGGTCCTGTCATCAAAACATAAACTTCAAGAGCATTGAAACATGTCAAAACATGAACTTCAAAAAATCAAAACATAAACTTTAAGAATTCAAAACATGAACTTTAAGAATTCAAAACATGAACTTCAAGAGCATTGAAACAAGTCAAAACATGAACTTCAAAAAATTGAAACATGAACTTTAAGTATTCAAAACATGAACATCAAGAAATCAAAAGATGAACTTCAAGAGTTTGGAGTTCTACTTCATCCTAGAGCCACTGCCTCACTCTAGTTGCACCTGATTTTGGTACCTGATATCTTGAGAGAAATCATAAGTGCATAATTGTAACAAGGGTGCAAAATTGTGCAAACTTGAAGACTGAGTTAGCAACTTGTTTTGGGCTTAACGTCTTCAATCGACCTTGGTTTGGCCCAATGACACGTGGTTGGAAAGATGACATTCTGAACTTCAAGTTGGAAAGCTCAAATTAGTCATTCGCTGAAGGAAAACCCAAGTTATGAGCCCACAAAATTGTAAGTCATTATGACCTAAACATAAGCTAATTGTTTCTTGGTTATTCTGACCTAAGCATGAGGTGGAGCATGGTGTAAAGAGTTGCCACAGAAGACTAAAGCTAAAGCGTAATGAGCTTTACATAGTTTTCATCATATTTCTGCATGTAGTTGGGTTAACTGGAATTAGGTATTAAATTTAAAATCATCACAAATATATATATCGTTCCCGTATCAATGTGATTAGATTTCAAGACTTGCACCAACGAAATGAACATAACTACCACTGCAAGAAATGCTAATTAATGAGAAGGAAATTAAGACCGTTAATTACCGCTTTACTTGTACTTTTATTCTTTTTAAAAGAAGATCAATATGTATTGTACAGTAGTTATAACTTGTTGTACCATTATAGAACAAAACTAGAGTTTGTTTAATATCAATATTGAGTATGATTGAAGGTTTCTTCTTCTTCCAATTTAATAAGCAAGCACTTGAAGGTGTATTTCATAAAAATTTAGATCGATACGAATGTTATTCATTACATATATACCAGGAAACGAAAATAATGAAAACAAAAATAACAAAGGAAATTAGGATTAAGCACAATACATACCAGGAAAGTTTGGGCTATGGATCAGTTTATTTGTTAGGATAATTTTCCAAATCCAGTCGCATAATAATCTCCCTAGTGAAATTTGAATTCATACAAAGCAAATCAAATTGTAATTACAAAAGGTTTAAATTAGACAACTTTATAGCAGAAAAAAGCATCATAATATTAAGAATCAATATATTTGAGGTTTACTCAATTTCTCTGGTGGATTCCGACATTATTATTTGTAGGGTTACCATTCGATCTCCCTATCCCTTATTTTAGGGATAGCGAGATATTTGATTAGGTTTTGTCTCCTTGTAATAGACTGATGTAATTAGGTTGATTTATGAGTCAATTACAATTACTTATTGTATAAATGTATACCTATGTACGTATAACTATCAATTACTTATTGTATAAATGATGTAGGTTATGTCATTAATTCACAAAATATGGGGAAAAGTTTTTATTTATTTTAAATTTATTAAAGAAAAGATAACCAATGGTATTATTGGAAGTAAAATCAGCATTGAGAAAAGTCAAGTAAACACTACTTTTTTTTTTTTTTTTTTTTTTTTTTTTTTTTAAAGACATTACAAAGTAGATCCTCTAAGGATCTGTACACCATACAAATCTAATTTGAAACCACTACTAATTTTCTTGGGAAAAATCTCAAATCAAATACAATAAACACGATATGTATCATTTTTTGTTGTGTATCCTTATTTTACCGAAATTGAACAAAAGAGCTTTTCAAAGAGAATTTTATAATCATGGTAATTTCAGACCACAAGCATAATAATTAATACAAGCATTGCTGCTCACGAAAACACTTAACCCACCCATTCCAAAACAACATTCGACCAACTCACCCATTTTCAAAATACTTTGTATAGAAAGGATGTGTTATATATATTATGCATTGTATGCCAACGGTGTTGTGAATTTTAATTTGGGTGGGCCACAAGACACACCTTGCCTTCCTATGACATATTTTTATCGTATTCTTTCTGAACTGTGTAACTCCGTAATACTGTTTATTAAGGCCCTAAATTTGAAGTCTTGTTTGAACTAAACCCATTGACTTCTTCATATTTATGTTTGTGGATTAGTATTTTTTTCCTTCTTTTAATGTATCAGTTAACAAAAGTCATTCTTTTAATAGCAATAAAATCTTATTTGAACTACTATATCTGATATGATTATTTTTGTGTTCTCTTTGACTCGATCAAGCACCTTCAAAGTAGCAAATCTCCCTCCCAACAGTAGACCCTTTGCAGGGATGCATAATGGCACAGACCCTTTGCAGCGTTCTCTTTGACACGAGTGGGGTTAGGCTTTTTCACCCTTGAGTATCATGTAGGGCAGGGCTCTACTACTTTTTTATTTTTGTAAAATTGTTATTAGAACTATTTGAGGCGGATTTGAACGTCTATATTAATTTGTCATGAACTATTTAGGATGGATTTGGATTTCTCTTTTTGAGGCCGATTTGGATTTTTGTTTACTACTTACACATGATATTGTTTAATGTTTTGCTTTAATATTTGTTGTTGAATTTATTGTAATACTAGAAAGCACAATATAGCAAACCTTTTGAAGCAAGCAAGAATATGACAGACTATATATACTTGAGAAGGGTTAATGACCTAAATGGTCCCCTAACTATTGCTCCATTATCATTTTGGTCCACCAACTAAAATTTTCAATTCAAACGTCCTTAAACTTTTTAATTTGTACCAAGATGGTCCATTCGTGACAGATTCCGTCACTTCTGACCACGCGATGGGCACGTGACTAAGTTTTGAAGGGTATATGCGACTTTTTGAGAAGCTCTATCGAATGGTATGACTGAAATGGTCCCTCAACTATTGCTTCAGTATCATTTTGGTCCACCAACTAAAATTTTCATTTGAACCATCCTTCCACTTTTTTTGTTTTGTTTTTTTTTGTATCAAGATGGTCCTGTCGTTAAAGTCCGTCAATTTTATTGTTATTTATTTTTGTATTATCTTATTTTAACATTTTTAATTAATTTAAACAATAGAGAAAAAAAATTACTTTTTAAGTCCATGTCATATAAAAAAAAGCCATGTTTGTGGTGAGATTCAATTTTTTCAATTTTAAAATTAGGTACAAGTTCCTATAATAGTTTCCTTTAATTTTAATTTTTAATTAATTCATAGAGACATTTTTACTCCTCAATTTAACAATAAAATTGACAAACTTTAACAATAGGACCATCTGATAACAAAAAAAAAGGAAGGTTCAAGGATGAAAATTTTAGTTGGTAATGATACTGAAGCAATAGTTAGGGGACCATTGGGATCAATAACCTTTTTAGGGGAGGATACTCACCTAAAAATACGGTTTTGTCCCTTGATTTCACGGAATAATACACAGACTTTGACGGATAGACCATCTTGGTACAAAATAAAAAGTTTAAGGATGTTTAAATTGAAAATTTTAGTTGGTGGACCAAAATGATAATTGAGCAATAGTTGGAGGACCATTTAGGTCATTAACCCTACTTGAGAAATATAGATACATAACCCTAAAAGCTAAAAAAAGGTTTAGGGAACTTTCTTGCGAGCAAGGCCATTTGATAGTTTTAAATTGAGTTTTTACAGAAACTGACATTTATGAATTTATGGGTTAAAGTTTGGCTAGATATGATAAAAACTCGTTTATCTTAAGGGTCTTTAGCAAGCAAGAGGGTTCTACTCCAGCAAGGGTAAAAACAATAGACCAACAAAGAAATTGATCACCTGTTGACCAACAATAGACAAACAAGAGGGTTCAAAAAGAGAAATTCAAATCTATCCTAAATAGTTCATGACAAAATAATATATAGATGTTCAAATTCGCCTCAAATAGTTCTAATAACAAAAAAAAAAAAAAAATAAAGTTGCCCCGAATCTGCCCTGCATGATATTCAAGGGTGAAAAAGCCCTCTTCTTTAGTGCTTTGGAATAGTTCAAAGTTTTGTATCACTTGTAGTAACTGAAATTAGCCCTCTTCTTTTTCTTTTAATTTATCAGCACGTTTTTGGTGGAGAAAATAAATTTAAAAAAACACTCTACAACTGGAGGACGACAATATGGTGAGTCGACATGCCCTGCCATTCAAATAGTATGACAAAATATCTGGGAACAAAATAAAAAATATGGAGAAATTTTTTGGAATCCCACTGTGGGCTCTAGTTTCAATACTATTAAAAAATTTCTCGAAACTGCCTGTTGGGTTGGGCCTTGTGGCCCTTACGGCTAAGTGAGATTTTGGAAAAATTGGTAGGTCCAAAAAGAATCTCGTTCATTGTAGGGAAAATTTGGTAGGTCCAAATAGTTTCCTTTAGAGCACTTCCAGCCCTCCTCTTGGTTCCCTTGCTTGGGCTGCTGGGTCCCACCTTGCTGGAAACAAGTTTTTGGGCCAAACCCCCTTCAGCCCTTCCCTTGGTCCCCTTTCAGGAAATGCTCTTAATCATCATCTGCCTTCTTTATTTTTTATTTATGGTAGACATGGGCCTTTGTTTCTTCTTTTACTATTTGTATCTAAACGTATTAACAATTTAACCTTAGATTAGCATAAACCCTATGCTTTGAGTAATTCCTTTTTTCTTTATTTGTCTTTTGGGTCATTGGAAAAATTGCAAATATGATTCGCTTTCAAAAAAATTGTTCCAACCAACACCCTTCAATCGTATGTGTTTAACTTAGCCTTTATCATGCAATCGATGACTTTAATACACTTCTTGGTCACTTAGATGCGGAATTATTCATCCATTTTGTATTAAAAAAAAATTAAAATAACATTATCTTATACACATGAACCTTAATTTTGTAATATTTGTAGATTATCAGAAAGGAAACTTTGTAATTGTGAGGCGCCCAATTGTAGTTGAGAAAGAACAACAATTATATCCATGATGTCATTGACATTCAGACTGTAATTCCTGAAAAATAAAAAATAACAGTTTATGATTTAAAAAAAAAAGGTTCAAACAGTTCACTCAAAATTTGTAGTAGAAAAACACTTTTTAAAAACACGGATTCTTAAAATCTTTTTAAACGCTCCAAAATTCTAATTGTATACACCCCCAGCTCACAAATTAGAACCCAAAATGTGAAAATAATTTCTCCTCTAATCTCTCCCTCGTAAAATTGTGCCTTTTTAACTTGCCGTTTCGCAGCAGAAGTCAAATTCAAATTGTCAAGGCTCAAAGCACCAGCGACCAGACATAACCAAACCATCAACCTTTTGATTGAATGCAGCCAAGACCAAAACCAAACTGATCTTAAGCACACCACCAACAACAACAACCACTTCAACTGCGTCATCACTGACTGACCAAAAATTGTGACCATTTAATAGGCCACAACTAAAATGAGATCCACCTCCCCATTTAAACCTCTCAACCAACAGCTGAGGTCCCTCTGCTTTTATTCCACTGCTTTGAGTCTCAAGGCCTCCTGCTACTTCAGAAGGACCAACCATTTTCTCTGCTTATCAGAATCTCGCCTTTTCTCTTGTAAGTTACTACTTTTATGTTGTTTAGCCCACAAGATGTTTGCTTTTTGGTTGCTGAGAAAGTTAGAGAGGGGAAGTTTTAAGATTGTCTTGGGTTTTGGAAAAATTGAGGGACTGGACTGAATAGGATTTGGTTTTTTCTTTTTCGGTTTCCTGGGTTGTGCATTGTGAAAGGTTTTCATGTTCCTGTGTTTTCACTAGTTAGCCAAACATAGCATTGATGCCGTTTTTGTTTCTTTATTGATTTTTGTTATTCTGTATTAATGTTCTTTTGAGTTGGGACCCCAAAACTGGAAAAATTCCTTTTCTTTTCCCGGGAACACTTGGAATGATTTGTAACCTCACTTCATATATGAAATCATGATAACAGAATTTCAGTATTGAACTCCTATATTTTGACCCAATTAATAAAAGCCCTTTACAGTTTAGGTGTTTAAACCCAGGCAAGGCCCTGTGATCGGATAAAAATAAGATAAGAAAATGGAAGTTGAATGTTTCTAGTTGATCAAAGGCATGCATTCCTTTCTATATGACATTTGGTGGTGTATCTATCGTGTGCATCTTATATAGCAGATGCATGGTTTAATCACGTCTGGTTCTTCTATCAGCTGTACTGATCACTTGTAATTTTAATTGTCCCTTGGATTTTCTGTTAAACACAATGTGCCCCTTCAAATGTCCTTAACTCAACTATAGTAAATATGATGGGAAATTCAGTTTTTAGGTTGTAAGGACTGTGGATTAAAATTTCACATTTAGTAAAAGACTCCTCATTTTGTGTTTCTATCTAAGAAAGTTGCACTTGCAATGCTTGTTTGTTGATAGTTTTGTTGCAATGGCTGAATGAATCATTGTGCTATGCGCAACTAGAAGCTAGATGTATATTTGATTATATGCTCTTTTTTGTTTTCTAATCCCTTACAGCATTGCAATTTGGTTCATTTATGGAGGCGGTAAAGGTAACTAATCAAGGGTCTGCAACTCATGACAGTGTTGCTATTAGATCTGATCACAAGAGTTATAGTTACAATCAACTAATCTCTTTTGCATCAAGTATATCTGGCTTGTTATCTAGTCGTCACTTGAATGCAGTGAGTTTTAGTTTTTATTTCAATTTTTTTATTTCAACATTTATAGTTTCTTTCCCACAATATTTTGCTTATTCTTTAGTGTCTTTGGCGTACAGACTTCTGAAGCAATTAAGCATGAATCTCCTTCAGCAGCAATTGATTGTGGAAGAGGACAAGGGCATCTTGGAGGGGCTAGAATAGGAATTGTGGCTAAGCCTTCAGCTGAATTTGTTGCTGGTATACTTGGGACCTGGCTGAGTGGAGGTGTTGCGGTTCCACTTGCTCTCAGCTATCCTGAAGCTGAGCTCTTGCATGTGATGAATGATTCAGTGAGTCCCCAATATCCCCTTTGTTTTGCTTTTCTTTCTTAGTGAGTTGTGTTTTTCTCAACACTATTTATTGAGTTACTAGTTTTAATATATGCAATAACTAGTTTTAATGCATGTTGCCATACCTTATCTTCATTCTGTATTTTTCTATTTTATTTTTGGCATAAATTCTGTAGGCCTTAAATGATTATCTGGTTTACAGGATGTCTCCATGATTCTGAGTACTGAAGATCATCAACAACTTATGGAAAATGTTGCTGCTAAATGTGCTGCTCAAGTTTCTCTTATTCCACCTATTCCTAGTAGTTCTTCAGAAAAAAGTGCAAATGGTAATTTACAAGCTGGAGAAATAGACGCAGATAGAATTTTTCATCGGAATAAAAAGCAATCAAGTAAGAGAGATTGTGTGCCTTTAAGAATGTGCAGATTTATATCCTGGATTGGGAATGCCGTAGGAGTTAATAATAAATTTTGATTATTGTGCCGTCATTTTTTGTTATGAAGGTGAGGATCCTGCATTAATTATATACACTAGTGGCACAACAGGAAAACCTAAAGGAGTTGTGCACACGCACAAAAGCATCAGTGCACAGGTATGCGCCCCATCTATCCTTGCAAGCAAAGATTTAGCTATATTTCGTTCAACCACTAAAATAGTTTCAGGTGAGGTGTAGGATACACTTATCACATTAAGGGTCTTCATTATAATGGACAACAGATGATGTAATATAATTTTTATATACTGGATCACTGTTTTAGAAACATTTTCTCTTGATTAGTAGGCATCTGTAGTTTAGGGGTTTGTTTGTCAAGTTTGGCTATTTCTTCTAAGAAGTCTTCTTTGATGTTAGCTTTGCAATGCATCTCTTTTCATGTGGGCTACTTGTCCACGGACTTGTGTTGCAAAGAAAAAAAAACATCTCTTGGTGTTCATTTATTGTTTCACTTTTATGCGTTATAACATTATAAGTCATGTAATGGAGGTATTCTTGTAGGTCATGCACTATTTTCCTTGACTATAGCGTCTCTATTCCAAGTTAACTATGGTTGACTTTTGCCCTGATGTTGCCTCAATTTCAGGTCCAAACCTTGGTAGAAGCTTGGGAGTATACATATGCTGATCAGTTCTTGAATTGTCTACCACTACATCATATCCTTCTACTTTTATGTATTTGCTTGCAAATTGTACTGTTTCCATATGCAGTCTCAGCTTACGTTTAGTTGATGTCTTATGTGTCTTCCTTTTCTGTTAGAAACTTGATTGGAAATTCTAAGTCACACACTGAAATTTATCCTTGTTGGTTTATGGCTTTGATGATTGATTGAAACATGTTATCCTTAACCTATAACATACATGTTCATGGGCTTTTCAATGCTGTACTTGCCCCCCTCTATGCAGGTTCCACGGTAATATACTCTACTTTTTCTGTTTTCCTTGGTTGCCTTGACAACTGAAGGCTTTCACCATTGTTTTTCCCTAGAATGGCTTTGTTTGGCTGCATGAGTCTTGCTCAGCTACTTATTGTAATTTAATTTCTTCTGTTTATGTTGTTAAAGGTTGAGTTTATGCCAAAATTTAGCGTGAGGGGTATTTGGCAGAGATGGCGTGAATCATATCCAATAAATGGAACTAAGGCAGCTGATGGTATAACTGTGTTTACAGGAGTAAGTCTACTCTGTATGTGAAGGATGTTTTTGCTAATATGAAAATCTATTGTAAGTCATAACATATTATAATTGCACTAGAATACAAATTCTTGGGAAAGCGCCATATTCTAAAAAGCAGGTATCTCCTGCTTGTTAGTTGATTTATTGGTTTTATAATCTTCAATACGTGAATTGAAGGTTAAACATGCTATGCATCTACTGCATCTCTCATTGTACTGATTTTAGGCACGAAATAATTATCTTAATTTAGTTAGACTGCAAGTTAAGTGGCTTGTATTTGTGTAGGTTCCAACCATGTATACTCGATTGATACAAGCTCATGAAGCAATGGATCCAGAGCTAAAAGCTGCCTCTGCCTATGCTGCAAGACAGTTGCGTCTTATGGTAAGTAGCCTGAAAGCTTTTTCTTTCCCCAATAATGGTTTTGTATCTATATTGTGAACAGGAAGTAAGATGCTTTTGTTTGATTATTGGATCTTTATTGGAAATACATGTAAAAATCTACTCTTTAAATACTGTCTGAAAATTAATTGTAAGGAACTAATATGGGGAATGATAATTGTGAGAGTATTTGTATCTACACAAGTTTGTAGGCTCTCTTTCCATTACCACAGCATCCTTGGTGGTAGTGGAACTTTCTCCGTTCTTCTGGTTTACATGAAAGGTAAGGCAACAAAAAAGGACACCATGAATGTGGGACTTTATCCCAGGGCTTTTCAGATAACATCAGGATACATTATCAGCTAAGTTAATTAGCTCCTACGGAGAACCACCCAATGAAAATTGGCCTTTACATTCCTCTATATTAAAGTCTATGGTGAATCCTATACCCATGACTAAGAAACTTATTTCTTTCTCCCAGATGTGCGGTTCCTCTGCACTCCCTCAACCTGTAATGCATAAATGGGAATCCATCACAGGACATCGTCTTTTGGAACGATATGGCATGACAGAGGTCAGTGATATTTAGTTTAAATTACTTTGAACTAGTATTCTCACTTTATGAAGAGAGTGCATGTATCCAAAAAATAAAGTTTCTTATCATATATATGGTTTTTGATGTTTTTAGTTTGTCATGGCAATATCAAACCCCTTAAGAGGTGAGCGGAAGGCAGGCACGGTTGGAAAACCATTTCCAGGTGTGGAGGTAAGTGGGCTGGTTATGAAATATACTTATGGCAGCAATTTTACCAAAAGAAACTTATGAAGGAAGCTTTTCGCATGCAGATTTTAATAATTAGCCCAGGTGCTGAAGGGAACCACTTAAAATAGCAAAATCTTAAGACATCTAGTGCATGCTTGTTTTAGATGCTCATTGACAAAGACTATATCCTGGTCCTTGAAACAGCTTATAAATTGTAGAGTTACAAAGCTGGTGTACTTTACTGGTGATGTGTCTCATAATTGACATGGGAGTGTTTTTCTCAATAAAAGTAACTACAAATTAGTATCTATATATGTATGTTTATAAGATCTGTATTTGTTATAGGTAAGGATTGTGGCAGAAGATGACAGTGGAAGTGATAGTATAGGCGTGGGTGAGCTTTGTGTCAGAAGCCCTTCAGTATTCAAGGAATATTGGAAACTTCCTGAGGTAATTTCTGATTTCAGAAATTTGATGCTACCTGAGATAACAAACCACACATACACACGCACACACCTGCATTTATGTTTGTGAGATGTGCTTTTCTTTTAATTGAAGAATGGAACATGGAGTAATGAAATTCTACATTTTACGTATATGGCATAATGAAATTCTGAAGAATATCAACAAATTTCTCTTACGACTTTGTGGTCATTGTCTAGGTAACCAAGGAATCATTTACAAGTGATGGGTTCTTCAGAACTGGAGATGCTGGTACAGTGGACGAAGATGGGTACTACATCATATTGGGACGTAAGGATACCTAGAACTCATGTGCATGATACTCTTATTGATGCATTCCTTCAATTTTGTTTTTTACCAGTCTCAGATTTTGATGCTTCTGGTTAGCAATGCAGATACTTAAAGGACGTCTAACTGAGAATGAATTCTTCTTTCTTCTTCCATATTTTTTGATGACATTTATCAGGTACTAGTGCTGATATTATGAAGGTTGGTGGATACAAGTTATCTGCATTAGAAATCGAATCAGTTCTTTTACAGGTGGATTTTTGATCTCTATTCCAGTTTTCTTATGGATATGCTATGATTTTGTTCTTTTTCTTTGTAGGTCTATTATTATAAAGAAAAATGAAAAATTGAAGTGCTCAATGAACGATTGAATTTTTCTAACTAAAATCACCCCTTTATGTAGCACCCGGCTGTGGAGGAGTGTTGTGTGTTGGGCTTGCCAGACGAAAACTATGGAGAAATTGTTTGTGCAATAATTGTGCCAGAGGTTGAAGCGAAAAGGAAACAAAAGGAAGAACTGAGACCTGCTATAAGCTTGGAGGATCTATCTGCTTGGGCGAAAGACAAACTTGCACCATACAAGGTATTACTGACCATCATTCACTTTACTTTCTCTTCCTTCGGAGTTTTTATGATCAGTCCTCTTCAGTGATCGAGTAATAAACATTCTGTTCTCATGAATAATAACTTCCAAATCCTCGTCACATTTTTCAAACAACACAACTATATTCTCAAATGAGCACTACAAATAACTGCATTACATTTTTCCAGATACCGACACGACTGCTTCTGTGGGATTCACTACCTCGGAATGCGATGGGAAAGGCAAGTTACTTTTACGTTTCCTTATTTGCTAAGCTACAAAAGCATTGTTTATTTCTTTGTATTTACTTTGCATAAACTTGTAAGGTGTATTGACATTGCGCATCTGATTGCAGGTGAATAAAAAAGAGTTGAAGAAAACTCTGGCTTCTGATTCATAGACTTGATTGCAGAACAGAAAGAAAGGAATTAAGAAGCTATGGCACACACAACATGAAGTTTTGGAAACTAAAGTTCGAATTCAACGTAGGAAGTATCCTTGTCATGCGGTTGTGGAACGTGACTCGTGAATGTCTGGTAGGGTAGTCTAGATAAAGTGTATGATGCAGTGAGTTGAGGGAAATCAATTGTTGAAGCTCTTTGCAGCTAATCTTTTTTTTTTTTTTTTTTTTTTTTTTTTTTTTTGGGATTTTTAGATATAGATTTTTCTGAATAAAGTTAAAGTATCAGTATGTAAAGACGAAGTTCAAAATATATAATTGACCTCATCTCATTTAAAGCTAAATCCTTTGAATTAGCCTTTGAATTAGTTACAATGTTTAAAATTAAAGCTTGCACATTTTGGACTCTCCTTCTCTCCTCTCTTTGGTTTCTGTTCTGAGCTTTGCCCCCGTCTCACCCAAATCATAATAAGATACATCAATTTCCATGAGAATTGACAAAAAATTTGGGTTGCAAAACATTTTTCATATGACTAAGATATCGTTATTACCATGTTACCTATCCGGACATAGGAAACAATGTTTTTACCCACTTAAGCACCTTGAACATTTTAAAGATTTGATTTCATAAACTTTGTATCGTCCTTCTCTTCTCCAAATTAACTTGATGAAGATAATATTTTCCCGTGGTCAAAATGAGTTGGCTTTTGGCCACGAATAAGCCATAAATCACGTCATTATATTTCTTACGTGGTGTTGCCCTTAAAGCTGTTAACAATACAAAAATAATTCATTTTTATTTCCCAGATCTGCATCAACTTCCCATTACAAAAATAATTGAATTGAAGATGAGATGACCATGTCATGTGTTACATGGTAACAATCATTTGATAAACTAAAACTAGTGTGGGGAGTCCACTTTCTATCTAAAAATTGATTTCATCATTTCCCAAATTGGATTGGATTTTCTGTATGTTTTCGCTTATTACATTTAAAGTGAAACGACACCGTATAGATGGAGGAAGATGAGGCTCTTTTGGTAAAATCAAGTTAAATTAACTTTTGCTGGCAGTTGAAGAAAGGTCGGCCGGCCTGAGATTTCAAATTCCTGTAAGACTCTGACTAAGCTTAATCTTTAGGAAGGAAGAAGAAGAAGAAGGAATACGGCGCCATTTTGGATCGAGTGGGGGCGAAGAGGAGCTTAGCAAAATGGTGAAGGGACTCCAACAACAAGGGCAAAACCTGCCACCGGATTTGACCCAAGTCATTGATCAGCTGGAGCGCCACTGCTTGGCACCCGATGGTTCTCTCGTCTCCAAATCAGCCTACTTCGACCTCCAACTCGTACTCTCTCTCTCTCTCTCTACATTTCCCTGCCTTGTTTGGTTGCTCAAAAAATGTGCTCTACAAACTATAAAATGCAGTCTATGAATTAAACAATCTGAGCATTTTCTTTACAATGCCTTTGATTTCTTAAAGTTATTTAATTCTGGTGCAGGCAAGGGAGGAAATGTCCAGAGAAAGATTGCGTTACTTGGAAGCCATGGTAGTTGTGCTTATTTTTTTGAGTTTGTGCTGATTGAACTAGTTGTTCTAATTTGGCAAGGATTTTGTAATGTGTGTGTGTGAATGGTGGGTTTGGATTCTGGTGTAGGCAATTTATGGCGAGGCAATTGCAATGGTGGAAGAGTATCAACAAGCAGTTTCGGTGGCTAATCTTGGAGGAATTCGAGATGTTCAGGGTTTATATCTGCAATCGGACTTGAAGAATCCTCCTCAGGTTTCAATGTGCCACAATCATTGATTTTTGTATTTTTTGCATTTTTTCTTTTTTGAAGTTATTGATTTGGAAATGCATTTTACATCAAGTGTTGTCGAGTAATGATTTGGCATGAAATAGGAGAGACATCCTTATCTTTAAGGTAAATAACTTGTAAGTTGGTGGGAAAGCACAGGGTGCCTGTGGTTTCCTGGTATGGGAGTTGAAGGATTCCCTTCTCCTTGTTACAATTGAAGTAGAAAACAATAGGAAAAAAAATGTTTTCCTTTGAGTTAATATGAAATGGCACCAGTTCAGAATTAGTATTCCCTCAAAGAATGTTCATTTTTTATTTAACCATGATCTTAACAGAGATGCACTATGATAGACTTGTATGTTAAATTCATCTTCAAAAGACAAGAGGCTAATTCAATCTTCATGGGATGCTCAAATGTACCATTAGTATTCTATTCTTCACATCAAGTCTAAAATGGATGAGAATGTGATTTTCATGTTTATATCAGTTGTATGAGACATTGGAGCATCGCATGATTGTTGCGGAAGCAGCTCAAAGATTGAGGCTTCCTCTTATCTCCAAAGATGGTGAAATTCATGAGGAAGAAATCGAAAAATGCAGTACAATGTCACACAGTTCCCTTGACAGTACCAGTACCAGCGTTACAATCAGCTCAAGTTCCAACTCAACCAATTTTAATATTGCTACTAGCACCAGTAGTGCAGCAAACAACAATCTTTCTCTTAGTGCTACTGATGCTGTGGAATCTGGAGTTGGTGGTGTTCCGAATCGCTTTCTTGGAATTACACCTGCATATTTATGGCAAACACAGCTCCAGCAAACACCATTGTCAATGGTACAATGTCCATTATGGTTCTGGCAACAGTTCTCTTTGTCTTTTATTTTCCATTTTATTTATTAATGTTTTTTTCCACATTCAAACGTATGTTTTCTTTATAGAATCTTTTACTTTGCTGTATATGATCCCTTAACATGAAGATCTAACTTTGGTGAAACTGATCCTTACATTTCTGATGCTTCAACTGCAGGACATGACAGAATATCAGTTGTGTCTTTCTCGGGAGATTGAAGTCCGTTTAGTAGCTAAATGTGATAAATTAGCTGATGCCTTTATAATGGATGACAATGGTATCTCTCTCTCTCTCTCCCCATCCATATACACTAGACATGCACTTTTAAAGCTGATGATGCAATATGTACATGACACATGTTTACCCATGCATAATGATAATTATTAAAGGTGAAATTAATTCCAATGTTTTTTTATGCAGACTCGTCATCTGGGCATCAGAATTCAAGTTCTTGCCTTCCAGAAAGGTTTGAGTTACTCTTTTGATGCAATTTTCGTTGTATGATAATTCCCTTTTACATTGAGTTCTTTTTATGGATGGTTGGCAATCTTAATTCCAATGCTTTTGGCAATCAATAAATTTCTGGAGGCACTGTTCTAAATATTTTTCTAACAGTCTGATCTATTTTTGTGACACTTTTCTCATGACTTTATCAGGGTGAAGTTGATAATTGAGGAGATGGAAAGGGAGGAAACAGCTCTGCAGGAAGATCTATATTCTGCGGATAGAAAATTTGCTGAATATTATAATGTATGAAAATGAAAACAAAAATAAAACAAAGTTTTATGTTCCTGCAATTTCATGCCAGGCGCATTTTGTTTGTGAAGATATTTTTTTTTTTTTTTTTTTTTTTTTTTTTTTTTTTGTTGCAAAACTAGGTCCTAGAGCAGATACTGGGAGTGCTCATCAAACTGGTCAGAGATTTGAAGTTGCAACATCAACATAAATATGTAAGCTTCTAATATCTGGGAGGGTTAATATTTTTTCAATGTTGTTGAGGGTTAATATGAGGGAGGCTCAAAGCTTCTATATTATTCTGTTTTCAATGTTGTTGAGGATTCTTGAACCTTTTATTAATAATGAATGATTTATAGGACGGACTGCAAAAAACATGGCTTTGCAAGAGGTGTGAGACGATGAGTGCAAAATTGAGGTCTGTTACATGGTTTTCTGTATTATAAATTTATAATTTTGTATTTCTGGCATCAATGTTGCTTAATGTCTTAGTTTCCATATGTTTATGAATTTTTTGTTTGTGATGCATCTTATGCAAGAAGACAAAGTTGACCACTTACCACTGACTGTATTTATTTATTTATTTATATTTTTTTTTCATGTTTTATGATCAAATCAATTAATGGATTGTATGCAATGAGTATAATATGCCCCATTGTATTTCAGGGTTCTGGAGCATGTTCTCCTTCTTGAAACTTATACTAAGGAGTCAATACCGGCCCTACATAAAATAAGGTAGCTTTGATGACTTTGAAAGTATGTGCAGCTTACTGATTCCAGGGTTTTAACAATTTTATAACTCATTTCTAGGAAGTATCTCCTTGAAGCTACAGATGAAGCTTCAATTGCATATAATAAAGCGGTATGATATTCTACTTCTTATTTTTCTTCCCTTTCCTAAGTGGTTTCTGATCATTGGTTGCCTTCATTTGCGTGTGCCCCAAAACAGACATTTTAACCACATCAAAGCCTTCTAGCAGCACTCTAGGCTTGTAATAATATATTTTGTTTGGGCATTACTTTTAGGTTGATTTGCAATGTTTTCCTGTCTATTTGCCTTGGTTTCCTGTAAGTCATTATGGTTTTAAATCCTAATCTGCTATCTGTCAAGTTGTAAATTGCTTCAAACTTATTCACTAGTAGATTTTTTGGGTTTTCTTAAGGAATTTTGATGAGATAAGGAAGTTTCTCAATCTGCTTTTATTGCTTTATCACTTGTTACTGGTTATTTGTCATTGTAGATATTGTGAAGATGGGTTGTAAATACTTAATGGTCTGCACTATAATCAATGGGCCCATTTACAAAGCTGATGATAATTATAGAAAATGCTTCAGCTGCTAATAAATAGTTAAGATATGCTGATCCAACTTTACTTTGACAACATGCATACAACTTAACCATGTCACCCTTCTGCATCTCTCCTGCTGGTTTTCTTTATTTACAAAAGTTCTTTTCTTAACAGGTTACACGTCTTAGAGAATATCAGGGTGTTGATCCTCACTTTGATTCAATTGCAAGGCAGTACCATGATATTGTAAAGGTAATAACAATGCTTACCGTAGTACATTTCCCAGTTCTCATGCTAATCTCTAATATCAACATCCCCTTACAGAAATTGGAAAATATGCAATGGACAATCGACCAAATTGAAATGGACCTGACACACCCAGATCACGTAAATGCATAGAACCTGCTGTATCTTGTTTGGTCTTGTTTTCTGAGTCCAAGCCTCCAATTGCTTCATCACTGGCCTGTTGAATGTTTCCTTAGGGAAATGAAAAACGCCTTCTAAATAGTATCATCATGCTTATGACTTTCTTCTTTGTTTGACATTTGTGCTTATAGTTATAAGCTAGATTGGTCATAGACAGACAGCTGATTTTTGAAATGTTGTGTATAATTATCTCCTTACAAGGAGGATACTCTGTAAATTATAGGCATCTTGCCACGTTTTGTGACCTCAGAAGCAATTTTAGTTTTGTGACATGTGTAAGATTACTACTCTACCTTAATTTGTTAGTTGGTGCAACATGGTCCAAGTCCTTTTTGTGGTGGTATAAACTTTCTGAGCTCAAAGCTGGGAGAGGAAGTTTTCTATTTTATAGACAACCACGCCGACTTGTGCCAACCCAGTGAACAAGCTCTTGTTAGGGTTGTGCTTGATGTACATGGAACGTGTAAGGAAAAAGTGTCAAACAAAGTAGGGCAAATATTCAGTTATGCTTGTATACGCTCATATTGGCTCATATTTTTATTCTTCTCTACTATGGAGGTATTTATATAAGTACAAAGATGTGTTAACCCTAAATAAAATAGGAAATATATCTAAATTACAATAGGAAGTAAATATAAATTATAATAGGAAATAAATCTCAATTATAATATGACTAGATAAATGGTAAGTAACTAAAATCATAACATAGTAAGGAACCAAAATCCTAACTAAGTAAGGACTCGCCAACAAAAAGAAGATGATAGAGAGGAACATGAGAGCCACCCAAACTCCGAAACCGACTTTCCATCCCAGATGATCTTGAATGTATACTATACTAACGTTAGTTTGATCAGTGTTTGTAGGTATATATATCATATATTAATGGAGTCATGTTTGGTATTCAAGGGTGAATATATAATGGCATACAAAACCCCCAAATATGGAAATAAGTAATGATGTAAACAAGAACAACAAAACAATGATATTGATATGGTTTGGAGAGAGAGAGAGAGAGAGAGAGCAGAGTTTCAACTGTTGTATTAACTCATCATAGTACAATTCTCTTCACAATAGTTTAGGCTAATACAGCCATACGTATCCTTCTATTTAGGAGTCATTTACCTTCATGTGGATTGTTTGTCGCGATCATTTATGCTGCTCTATTTAGCTTTTTAATTAGCAGATTTCTAAAAAAAAAAAAAAAAAAAAAAAAATTTAAAAAAAAAAAAAAAAAAGAAAAAATCAATTTTCAATTATTTTTCTTGTCAAATTAAAGATTAAATTTCATATGCACGTTGTTATTCTTGTCCTAGACCTACTGGTATCTCTTTTATTTTCTTCTTTTTCTGTCCCCAACTAGCAATAAGTTTAGCAGTAATTTTAGCTACAATTATGATCAATCCCATGCTAGATAGAAAGGTATGCGCTTTACAGAATCACTATAATGAGAACCATGGAAAGACATTTGGGGTGTAGTCTTATGTAAAGAGCATAGCCGGTCGGCTATACTATTTATAAAAAATATTTTTAAAAAAAGGTCCCCCGTAACACTGAGCAGCTATACTCATTTTTTTATAAAAATATCCCGGGTATAGCCGCACGGCTATACTATTATTGACACGTGGCGAATGGGAGTAGACGTCAGGCGGGGCCTCTTTTCCTCTATGAATAGTATAGCTGCTCGGCTATACTATGGTAAAAGGACCGGCCTCACGTCTATCTCCCATTTCGCCATGTGTAAATAATAGTATCGCCGCGCGGTTATATCCTTTTTTAAATAAAAAAAAAAAAAAAAAAAAAAAAAAAAAAGGGTAGTTATTACAGTTGTTAATATTAATCAAGTCAAAATCATTATATTATGTCAGTTAAGTTTAAATAAAAAAAATAATATGAGAAAAGGAAAAAAAAAAAACCCAGAAACCACCTACACCGTCATCACCCTAATACTAATCATTTTTATTACTTTTCTTTTATAATTTATTTTGTAAACTTGATTACTTTTCTTTTTTTTTAATGAGAAAAGGAACCAGAACAAAAATGCAGTCCCAAAGAAAATTACTTTTATTTTTTCATTTTTATTTTTTATAATTTATTTTTTAAACTTGATTTGTTAATGACTTAACTACAGTGACGAAAATCGGAATATTAATTTTGGTGACCAAATTTAAATTTGGGCCTAACCCAAATGTAGTTCCTATTGAAAGAATCCCCAGTATAGCCGCGTGGCTATACTATTTATAATAAAAAAAGACCACCCGGCTATACTCTTTAAGTATATTATATTTAATATGTGTATAGCCGTACGGCTATACTATTTATAAAAAAACAATTTGACATTTCTAGTTGCATTAGTTTATACTTTCTAAATATTAATTTGCTAGTTTCGACATCTCCAAAGCAAATATTGAAGAGAGATAAATTTCATAGTAATTCAATTTGAGAGTTAAATTTTTCTTCTTCTTTTTTGGTGGAAATGTTTGCCATTGGTCTATCTCGTTCTCTCGAGTGCTATTAAATTATATTACTGCACACATTATTTATTGTAGAGAATTGCATGTGAGTTGGAGTGTTCTTGGTAATTGCTTCACATTTCAAACAACACTTTACACTAAGAACACTTCCACCTCCCCATAAATCTTTGTTTGAAATTGTTGTTCTGTTTGGCAAAGAGTTTGCAAAATCACCATCTTGCATTTTTGTTATAAGAAGTAAGAAATAATCTTAGCCTCTCACATTCTTTCAGTTAGTAAAACATGGAACATGAAAAATATGAATAAAATACGTACGTATTTTATTCGGTAATATTTTGGAAAATTACAATTGATAAGTTCAGCCACTATATTATATTTTAATATGATTTATTTAATTTTTTAATATATATTTTTTTTATTCATTAATATGCAAAAATTATATGTATAATACCTGAATTTTGTGTGTAAGACCATGAGAGCTGTAATTTTGCGATATGAGAAGTTAAGCACCATCATCAAGCTTGCACCCTTAAGGAATGAATTCACTTGCTGGAAGAAATTCCTCGAGGTACGCTCGGCCATACTATTTATAAAAAAAAGACCCTAGTAAAGCAACACGGCTATACTCTTTTTATATTCAGTCTAAAAGAAAAGCATGATGGAAAAAGTTTCAGTGGGACAAGTGAAGCGTACTATGTAGTACAATGAAGATAGAGATAGGGTTTATTTTGGCCGGGCAGATAGAGATAGGATTTCATCATTTTTTTTTGGGCTGAGATAAACATATCTAGCTATTTGTCTTTATTAAAAATATTGGGTTGGGCATCAGCACACCCTGTCATGTGGGTAGAATCGCCCTTGGTGGGTTGGAGGTAGCTCAAGGTCAAAATCTCTTCTTCCATTATATGATGGGAAAACTAGAAGCTATTATCTTCAAACTAGAAGCTATTACTGTAAGTTTAGTTTCGTTTTAAATACACGCTAAAAGTCCAATTATACACTTACAATAAAATTAACATAGCAAAAAAATGAAACCAAACCTAGCACCTCCTGCCACCTGTGTTATCACACTTACAATGATACGTAAACATGCCCTAAAAGTCCAATTATACACTTACAATAAAATTAACATAACAAAAAATGAAACCAAACCTAGCACCTCCTGCCACCTGTGTTATCACACCGCCACTCCACCGATCAGCTAACTTTGATGTGCTTCTAGACTAGCTTTGCCATCGATCGGGCTTTACCTCTATCTTTAGCCTTTCATATTAGTAAGGAAAATGCTAGGTTTACCACATTTTTCATACCACAATTGTACAACCTCTCTAATAGAGGTGGGCCCCATTGTATTGGTGGGCTCCACCTCTATTAGAGAGGTGGTACAATTGTGGTATGAAAAATGTGGTAAGCCTAGCATTACTCTATTAGTAAAGCCGTCACACAATAATTTTTCGTTTCAGAATCTTTTTGTATCGAGAAAATGTGTCATATATAATCAACAAAATTATACAACTATAGAAGGATAAATTGGCCATTGACCCAAAAAAAGAGAAACGATAAATTGTTCTGGCCCATTAGTCAAACAAACAAGGTATAGGCCACAAACTCGAATATGGGTAAGACCCGTATCTATTTTGGGCCGCACAAATCCCGTCCGACATATTTTAAACTTTGGGCCTTATGTCCGGCTTCAGCTTAAAAAAAAACAACATAAGTGCATGACATCAACAGCCAGCGGATTACTACCCCAAATAATCGACGTCGCGCTGAAAGCAACACAAACAACTGAAATAGTTTGTAGGAATTTTAAACAGTGTTGGAAAATGTTGGCCTAGGCGCTGGGCAGCCGATTTTTTGCAATCGTTGTCTCTGATTCCCACCCAAGATTCCTTTTTTGTTATAGTTTTGAAGATTCTGCTCCCTATTTTCTATCTGATAGTTTATTTGCACCAAAGGTATGATGATTGTGGAAATTCAGAATTCCCATCTAGATTCACTGCAAGAATTTCCTAAACTATGTATTTTGCAGAGAGATGAGAACTTAAGGCTTTAATAATATATGTTACTGCCTCAATCTAAAACTATTGTTCTACTCAAGTATCAATGGAGACCAACTTTTACATCCCAAAAGATAAGTATCTTACTGTAATTTCATTGAAATGATTTGATCTACCATATCAACGTAAATTACGATTTTCTAATATATATTTCTGTGATGCTTTGCAGGAAAAGTAGTATGCATAAACCAAAACTTCCAACAAACCATATGGCACTATCATGGAGGGTGTCAAGTTGGGAGGGTTGTTGATAAAGGATATAGAGTTCCTGCTATTGATTCTCTAAGGGTTATTGATGGTTCAACGTTTTATCACACCCCGTTTGCTAATCCTCAAGCTACTGTGATGATGCTTGGAAGGCAAGTATTCTTGGAAAACATATCATATATACATAATCTTCACGAAAATCTTATACTAATTGCTGCTAAAACCTGCATTTTGGTTTTGTTTGTTGTGCATATGGTGCAGGTACATGGGGCAAAGGATTCTGCATGACAGATTAGTCCATGGATCAAAAAAGAAAAATTGATCTGGTCCCTTATGTTTCTCAAACATAAAGTCAATTAGTGATTACTAGAATATATGTCTCTGAGACATTTGATTAATATTGTAGAGATTGGAACCTCAAATTTTAAAATCTATGTAGTTGATGTCATATTTATTTACCTATCATCACATTTGGTGTTGAATTGATCAGATCTGGTATGGTTCAAGAAAAACTTTCTGTACTCAGCTTGACTAGATTAGCCTTCCTGTGATGAAATATATGCCTTCCTATTACAACTAAATTAGCTCTAAAAATAATTAGTTAGATATTGTTTATTTTGTTAAGAGCGTAATTAGGAAGGAAACTAGTAAGGAGGTGAGGATGACACAACACAACTGCAAGCACTTTCAGAACTTTTGATCACATGGGCTGCTCTAACTTCATGAAGTCCTTCAGGTAGGCCTTATTTTTCTTTAGTTGTGATGATTTTTTTGTACATCGTTCGCAAGAGAGAGATTTGAAAAATGATTACCAAATTAACGAATGAGGCATTGCTCTCAATCATGGCATGGTTAGAAAGAGATACCCACACAGAAGGACTGAAAGTGCAGCAGATTAACTAAAGTCAAACTAATTTGGAGATCCTATAATGATGGCTCACTATAAAAGTGAGTCTTTTGTATTCAGGACAGAGTTTACTGATATGCAGACGTAGGCAAAAAAGAAAAGAAGACGAATAAGATTAGGATATGCTGTTAGCCCTTCTTTCTCGGCCCCTTATAATAATATGGGGAGGCATCTCCTTTCATCTACTTTTTTCCTGCTTCAACTTCATTGCACATTTTCATGGACACAGAGAGTGGAAGAATCTCATATGCTAGGAAAGAGCGCTTTCAAGGCTTGGATAAGGAGGAGAAAAATCTAGCAGCAGAATGAGCCCTGGCCCCAACAAAATCCCTGAAAAGCAGCCCTTGATGGATGTTCACAGCATAATCCTCAGGATATGCCATTTGTGCTTACTGGTTTATTCCATGTCTTGGAGTCTTTGAGCCCTTATATAACTTGTGCCGGGCCATCATTGAAACACAAGGAGGAGCAGCTATACATACTAGAAGAAGTATACTTGTCAAATAAGCAAAGCAGTCATAGGGCTTCTCTTTCTTGGCAGGCACTGGTGACTGATGCAGCTACAAATGTACAATCACTTTCATTGACCTGCCAAAGAAGAGTTGCCCTACAATTGCTTTGGCTTAATGAAATTTGCAGCCTGTCTGATCATGAAGTAGAGCCCTGTCATGCGAAACATATACGGCAAGGTATAATACTAGGCTAGGCTAGCCAAGGATATACGTAGGTTTTGTCATATTTGAAATTAATGGTAGAGGTAGAGCTATAATACTGAAGTTATTTTTGTTGTACACAGTTGTTCTGCTTTGTGACTAAGCAGCAAGCAAAGTGACTTTACCATGTGGCTTTGCACAATGTAGGGAAATAGTGTGATTTTATACAGGTGGAATGGAAGGTGGAAGCCATATATACAAGCAATTACTAATTTCCTTGATCCCTTTTGTCAGTTGTGGCCACATAGCTTTGTCTGAGAGGATGTTCTTGCTACGTGCCAATCAAGCCACTTTTTCAAAGTAATGGACTTATTTTTCTTCTTTTTGGATAAAGCAAAGAAGCAAAATATAGTTTGGTTTGGGATACATAATTGTGATCATAGTCAGATATCCCCCACTCTAGTCTGGAAAGTGTTTTTAGGGCTCTCGTTTCTCGAAATGTCCTTCTCCGAGACTTTACCCTCCATCTTTGAGAATGCTAAGTTGGAGTGTTCTTGATAACATGAAGAATACTACTACCACCTCGCTTACTACTATATCCATAAATCTTTGTTTGAAATTGTTGTTCTTGTTGGCAAAGAGTTTGCAAAATCACCATCTTGCATTTTTGTTACAACAAGTAAGAAATAATCTTAGCCTCTCACATTCTTTCAATTAGTAAAATACGGAGGGGAAAAATATGAATAAAATAATACGTGTTTTATTCGGCAATATTTTGGCAAATTACAACTGTTAAGTTCGGTCACTATATAATATTTTAATATAATATATTTATTTTTAATATATATTATTTTTATTCAATAATATGCGAAAATTACATGTATAATACGTGAATTTTGTGTGTATAATTGAAATTTTGTTTTAAAAAAAAGTGTATTAAACATGAAAAATACGTATGTACGTGTACAATACGAGTATTAAACATGAAAATGCTAAATTCTTTATACGGGTAATAGCTTTGGAAAAGCAAAAACTCAAAAGGGAACAATTGAGACTCGAATAATGGCCTAATAGTAATGGATAATGCTCTAAACTATCCTTATCGATAAACAAATATCGAGAAAAAACAATCAAAAAGAAAAAAAAGATCACAATGTCTTATGTCAAGAGTATAGCAAAACTATTTATAAAAAAAGACCCTAGTAATGCCGCGAGGCTATACTCTTTTTTAATTTTTTTTTAAATTTTATAAATATCCCGAGTATAGCCGTGTGGCTATAATATTTATGTATAAAAAATGAAGGGACTCACCTGGCGGCTAGCGTCCATTTAGCCACGCGTCAAAAATAGTATAGCCGTGAGGCTATACTCATTTTATTTATAATTAAAAAAAACCCCAAGTTGGAAAAGGTTTGATGACAGTTTGGCGGGCAACCAATCTTGATGCTAGAGATTTTCATGTTGACATGGGTTTTGCTAACGGTGAAGTCACTAGTGTATCATTAATTCCAACTTGTGTATCACCAAAACCAGTAACTCGGAACATTGCAACAACACAAATGTGTTCATGTAAGTGATTTAGTCTATATTGCTTGCAGATATGTGAGAAAGTCTTTTGGGATGATGATCTTAAAGGTCGATCTAAGTGGTTACCTTTAGAAAGTTGTCCAATATTCGTTGCCTTTACAGAAACAGGGATGGGTACGAAATAAGGTATGAAATATGCTTGTTCTAGTTTTTTAAATAAGGAATAAATTGTTGTCAAATGTACATTGTTGTAAAGAAAAACAAATATTTTTTTTTTTTTTTTTTTTTTTTTTTTTTTTAAAAAATTTGAAGAGTCATCTTTGTCATAATCTTTTGTAGCTAGAACAATGTTTACTGTAGTTGGATATCCTCGACCTCACGGTTTGTTGCTAAAGACTTGTTGGTTTATTGAAATTGTATTTCTTCGTTGTGGTTCTCATAGCTATTGATTGGTTAAAAAATAAACATTCACCAAGTATGCTCGAATTATATTACACAAGAAATAGCACAAGATAAAACATTTAGGGTTTGGCTGTACTTTTTCTATGGCGTTTTTTAAGGTAATAGTTGCGGCATAATTTCATGAAAAACCCCATGCATTCCTTGAAGCCTTCTTCTGGGTTTCGGTAGCAATTCTCAGTGCCTTGAGCAACACACTTTATATATGCCTCAGTCTTTGTGGCCATTTTAACCTTAAAATTATCAGTTGAAGAGGAACGAAGAAACTGAGAGGGATGATGCAGAGGAGGAAATAAATATGGAGAGGAAGAAATATGGCTTTGATGAAAGCTACCAATCCCAACATAATTATCACCTTGAATCATCTCAAATGAGTTCTCTCCATTGCTAGCTTTTACAACTTGTTTGAGAGGTTTGTATATTTTGTTTTAAAGTTTAATAAATATATAAAAAGTACTTATGAAAGTTATTTTAAAGAATATATATGTTGTGTGTATAGTGACTTTTTTTGGGCCACCTATTTTACTAATTTTTTTTTTGTTGGAACCTATTTTACTAATTAAAATCAATTTAAAAATCAATGAGAAGTGAAAAATAGTAACATGTCTCTTTGTTAGAGTCATGAGTTATCTTTGCGGCGCTTATTTTTTTTCTTACACATTAAGAATAAAAGGTGATAATTAATTGGCTTATAGAAGGCATGTCACTACCTATATTATAGAAAGCTGCATATACACTTAAATGTAAGTTTATTTATTTAACTGATGTAATGTAAGGAATCAAGGGCTGCTTGGGATTTTTGGATTCGTTGAGTAAGTTTGAAGCATATATGGGTTTTGAAAATTGTTGATATTCCTTTACCAATTGCCGCTCTTGCCAAAACAAAGAAGAGGCAGTAGGGTTAATAAGAAGGTTTTTTTTTTTTTTTTTTTTTTTTTGTTTTTTGGAGGGTTAGGGTAAAGACTAAAGAGTTGATCTTGAACAAGTGCAAGCGGCTGTTGAACTTTAGTGATCTCCTCAAATAAATTAGGAAGTTTAGAACTCCATTGTTTTAACAAGAATTTTATATCTCCACAATTGTCAATTATAGTTTTTAGTGTCAAAGTGAGAAGGAAAAATAATAGGGATGTGATGAGAGCAACAAAAAGCAGGACATCCAAAAAACAATGAGGAAAAAAGATGCAGGAGATCTCCTGCATACTAATCAAATTTCTTACGAGTAAGCAATTACTTGAGTTACAATTAATCACATACTAATCAACTAAGTTATCAATTCGTCCATTTCTTGTAGAAACAAACACCACAATTTTCAACCAAATATGGAAACAAATAAGCAAAGACATATACATGCAGCTAAAAAAACAGTATTGTATTGATCTCACAAACGTGGATATTTTCAATCTACATCTTCAGGAAATTGAGCATCTCATTATCGTGAACTGGAAAGCCTAACACATTGAGTTGAACATTTTCAGTACCAAGTTCACCACCTGTTTGATCTTCTGATGATATCCCAAATCCACTATTAAAATTGCCCGAGTCTTCATCAACTGCAGACTCCTGGATTATGGATGGATATGGACGCGATCCTCCTCCCAATGGTTGTGCTGCAAGTGGTTGGATGTTATCCAAATTTGAGAGATCCTTCATCAATGCATCAACATCATCATCATCTAGAGATTGGCTGAGGTCATAATTAAAACCTTGTGCTGGTTGATGATCAGTGTCACTAATTAGCTCAGAGCCATAGTCTTGTGGCTGATTCATTGGCAAGTACGCACTGCTAGTCTGCTCCGGCTGCTGATTATAATGATAATTAACCTCAGAAGCCTCAGAAATTGGAGTAAAATTAGCACCTAATACGACTTCTTCACTGTTCTCTAGTTGCCTTAGAATCTTGGTAGGGGAATGTAGTACTAGCGCATGACCACCGACACCATCATTCTCTGATAACTTCCTCTTTCTGTCATTCTTTCGAATTCGACAGAGCACGTATTTACCATCACCACCACAAGTATTTGAATTTGAATGGGGCTTCACCAATGAAGGGTGCAGGCTGTACTCGTGCATAATCCAGCAGCCATGTTGATCAGATTTATCATTCTCATAACGGAACCTTTTACACAGACCTAAAGGCATATTCTTTTTCGCAGGATCACCGACCATGGTCCCTCTGTCCTCACCTTTCCAGGTTCCATTTCCTATTGTTCGAGCCACGCGGGAACCCTTGCCGGTCACTAACTTCAATTTGGTGAAGAAGTAGAGGTCTTCACCCTTTTCTAATTTTTGTCCACCGAAATCATTCCATATATCCCATGGCTCTTTCTTACCATAAAGATTGAATTCTGGCACAACGTTGCTATACACAAATGGTGTGCCACAAACCTTGTTAAGAAGATAATACCTCAATAACTCATCATCGCTTGGATGAAACTTAAATCCAATTGGAACATCAACATACTCACAAGGTGCCATATATAAGTATGTGTAATTTCCTCTTGGAGTTTGCTGGGTTAAAGAAGAAATATTTCTTGGGTTCTTGGAATGGAAAGAAAAGGAGTACGTAGGCTGGTTATGGTTTCTCTGGGACTTTAAGTAGCAGATAATGGATTCTTGAATGAGTTTCTTGGAGTGATGTGGGCTAGGGTTTTGTGATTTCTGTGTGAATCAGTTCCTTCCTTCCCTTCCAATATATATAGGAGTATTACCAGGCCCAGTCCTGGCCCAGGTCGAATAGGGCAACGGCAATATATAAAAAACACGTGCCCCAAGCATTTTCATTAAGATCTCCCAAAGGAATTTATAATCGTGTTGAAGTAGTTTCTTTATGTATGATGCTCTATATATTCTCACTCCCAAATCGAATCCTATTTTCTCACCCCACCCGCCACCAAACTTTTTAAGAACACTCCCTCTATCATTCCATGATTGCCCTTTCCCCTTCTTCTTCTTCCACTTCAACCCTAAAAATAAAACCGAAGGACACAAGGCTGGTGGATGCATGAGTAAATCCAGTCCCCTTCTATTGATTCTGGTGGATATAGAAGGCTTGTCTTAAGATTGATTCGGGTTCGGGGACATGGAATTTCATAGCATTCGTGATAGATTTGGCAGTCTTCAATTATCAATTTGTCAATAAATTTCAAGCCTAATGATAACTTGACAGTGCTTGTTATTATTATTATTTTTTTTATGGACAGTGCTTGTTATTATGAAAACAACAAATGTCTTAACAAAGGTAACTACAGTCCAAGTTGAAATTTGTCATGGCTTGGATCTATTTAATATTAGTATTTTAACCGTATCTACCTTTCCCTAACCAATGACCAGAAGCAAACCATTTTGATCCTAATCGTAATGTGGAATTTGTGATTCCATCTGAATTTATTTGTTTATTTGTTTCATTTTCTTCATGTCTGTTCTGTGTTTTCAACTTTTGAAACTTTACCTAGTTATGTCTGAATTCAGTCCCCGCAGCCGAACAGGTTATGCTAATTTTTTATTTTGCTTTTGTTTTTTTATCAAGTCATCCCACACTTTCTTTTCTATTTTTTTCTGTCTTCTTTCTCTAGATAAACCTATAACTTATATTACTAGTCTACATACTCAACGACTTTGTTCACTATTTTTTAAAATGATTTTGAAAAAAATATATTGAGTTTGGACCTTCACTCTCAGTTCTAGTGTAGTATGTGTATATATTGCACCATTCTAAATGAGTTATATTGCTCACACACATCACCTATTAAGATATAACCTGATGGACAAAGCCATGAGAATTGTTTCAGTTTTCAAATGTCGAAGCATTGCAACCATTACAACCATTAGCTTATGCAATGGAAATTTGGGTGTGCCTTGTGAACAAAATGAGAGACAAGCACTTCTAATGTTCAAGCAAGATCTTAAGGATCCTTCAAATAAGCTTTTATCTTGGGTTGGTGAGGGAGATTGTTGCAATTGGACTGGAGTTGTCTGCGACAATTTAACCGGTCATGTCCGTGAGCTTGTACCTTGGAAATTATTATTCAGATGAATATTTGAATTACAGTTTGTATCAAGAAAACTATTTGGGTGGCAAGTTAAATACTTCTCTACTAAATTTAAAGCATCTGAGCTACTTGGATCTAAGCAACAATGATTTTGGAGGAATACAGATTCCTAGCTTCTTAGGTTCTCTTAAAAGTTTAAGATATCTTAACCTCTCAGACTCAAAGTTCGCTGGAATAATTCCGCATCAATTGGGAAATCTCTCGAGTCTACGCTCTCTAGGACTCCCGAGTAAAAGCTACTACTGGATGAAGGTTAAGAATCTCCAATGGCTTTCTGATCTTTCGAGCTTGCAGAACCTGGACGTGAGTCATGTAGATCTTAGCAAAGCATCTGATTGGTTTCAGGTGACAAACACACTCCCCTCTATGCTGGTAGAGTTGCATATGTCCGGTTGTGAACTTAATCAAATACCAGTTGGTGTTGCAAATATGACATGGCTTGAAGTTCTTAATCTCAGGTGGAACATCATCTGGGGTACCATACCTCAATGCGCATGGTTGTACACTTGTAGCAATCTTGAGTCCCTATCCCTTTATTTGAATCTCTTGCGAGGTGAAATTTCAAGTTCCATTGGAAACTTGACAGCCATTGTCAATCTTGACTTGTCTGCTAATCAACTTGAAGGGAAAATCCCAAACTCATTGGGAAATCTTTGTAAGTTGACGGTTCTTGATCTGTCAAGGAACTATTTCAATGGAAGCGTATCAGAAATATTGGGAAGCTTGTCAAGGTGTAGTTCAGGTCAAATGGAGTCACTGAAGCTGTCAACAAATGATTTTTCAGGTCCACTATTTGATCAGCTAGGAAATTTCTGTTAAAGATTTCAAAGGGACGGACCCTTGGCCCACCACTAGCAACATCGATATTGTCCCCAACTTAACCACCTGTTTAGCAGGTGTGGGGTTTTATACAAAAAGCCTCAATGTTATTAGGAGTGGAACAATTTATTATATGAGACTTTCTATTTTGTTAAGTTTCTGATGTGGGACTCGTGTATTCTTCAACACTCCTCCTCACGTGAGACCACTTTTTAGTGGGCCACACGTGCAATCAATTCCACATCAGTCACTTTTTTTTAAATTTAATAATTTTTAAGTTGGGGTTTGTTTGATTTTGATTCAATTTGGGGTTTTTGTTTGATTTGAGTTTGTTTGATTTGGGTTTAATCGGGCCCAATCAACCTGGCTCTGATACCATGTTAAATATTTTAAAGGGACAGACCATTGGCCCACCACTAACAACATCGATATTGTCCCCAACTTAACCACCTGTTTAGCAGGTGTGGGGTTTTATACAAAAGGCATCGATGTTATTAGGAGTTGAACTATTTATTATATGGGACTTTCTATTTTGTTAAGTTTCCGATGTGAGACTCGTGTATTCTTCAACAATTTCAGACATTTACACCTCCTTGCTCTTGAGTAATTCAATATCAGGTCCAATTCCATTGTCCTTGGGACATCTGCCATTCGTAGAAGAGGCAAGCATTTCTGAAAATCATATTAATGGAACTCTTCCCAAAACTACTGGTCAACTCAAAATGGTAACGGTGTCTTATGTAAAGCTATACTCTTTTTTTAAATATCCAGAGGAGTATGGCTGCGCGGCTATACTATTTTTAAATAAAAAACCGTAGTATAGCCATCCGGCTATACGGTTTTTATTAAAAACAAAAATGGAGTATCACCCTCGGCCATACTGTTTATTTAAAAAAAGGCCTCGCGCCCATTTCGCTATGTATCCAAAATAGTATAGCCGGGCAGCTATACGATTTTGAAAATAAAAACCGTCGTATAGCCTCACTGCTATACAATTTGACCGCCTGTTGCCTAGTGCTTTTTTGCCACGTGTGAAAAATAGTATAGCCGAGGGGCTATACGAATTTTGTTTTTATAATAAAACTGTAGTATGGCCGGGCGGCTATACACTCTATTAACGTGGGCAGGAATACCGCATCAAGTACCGGTTGCCGCTGGCTTTGGTTCAAAGCAAGGTGCAATGCGAAGGGATGCCCTTAGCAAGGTCTTCAAATTTAACTCCCACAGTTGCAATTGATTTTTCTAAGCCCCATTTCCTCTCTAGTAAATGTATTCAGTTATCAACACATCTGTATTCTGCAAGCTAAGTGCTATAGATGCCCAATAATATGTGTTCATCACCCAAAACCTTACCACTGCCTGCCACCATTGAACATGGAGAGTGACACTGAGCTAGAAGGATACATTGCTATAGCATATATGACAAGATTATATAAACATCTCTTATGATCAATGGTCTAGATTAACAGTCCGAACATATATTATGTTCAAGAAAACTTGTAAGAGAATCAAGAACGTGAAAAAGATCATGATATTGTTATGAATACTTTTACATATGTGTCATGGTACCCTCAGCCCCCTATATATCTGGGGACACATCGCACTCCAGTGGACTTTTATTGACATGTAACCTACTGTGTCACTTTGTAAATCGATCAAAGACAGTGCAGATTGAAGTTTTAGAAGGGGCTTATTGTGCGAAATGTTAAGACACTCAATATACAGTCAAAGAAAAGGAAGGAAAGCCATTCTTTCGTCAAAATGCACGTTTACAGGACCGTCTTATTGCAACAATCAAGCAGAAGGAAACCTATTTGGTTACCAGAAGGATCAAGCATCAGATTCACACCATTCTTGTAAGGTTGGTGTTGCAACTCCAATGTTCTTCATGTCCAATATATTGGCTGGTTCAGAGAATTTGGGTTAGTCAGCCATGGCTATCATTCGACAATCCATCTTCAAATACAATCAGAATTTTAAAAAAACTATAACGGACTAAACAGGTTGCATATATGATACATCTTTTAAGGGTAATATTCTCTTGTGAAACGGTCTCACATGTATAACCCATCTGATCAATGGATCACATTGACAGTATGAAAGTCACAGAACAGCATACTGTGTAAAAAGAGAACACTCGCTGTGCTTAAAAGAAGGATCATTGAAGATATTGCTTGGCACACCAACATTTGGACGATGATAGACATGGGTCACATGCACTAGCATTTAAGAAGAGAAGTATAAATGGCATATTCCAGTAATGATAGCCCCATTAAGCATCCCCACAGAGTTAGATTTCGTCATGCAAAAGTGATTATGGTAGAAAATTTAAAATCATATCAATTGAATCATACATACAGCTAATTCAAAAGCTTTTCGTTGCCTTCAGTAAGGAATAAGAAAAGATAGCAGAGAAATTTACTAGCCAAGGTCCTAATTTCAACATGCACGCCTACAAATCATCCAAAAGACAATCATAGTTACAAGATCTCCTTGGTTTGTCTTTGTAGAGTTTCCTTTACATTACGCATTAGCTATTTGGATACTTAAAGGTATCAATTCTGACCATCAAAAGAAAAATCAAATTCTTAAACTGTCCCCACCACCTTATCTCTTCTAACTCTAAGTTTCATTTTCTTCCGACTCTGTTTCCACCAGGAAAGGGTGAAGGCTTGTAGTTTTCTATGGGAATTCCGTAGTCACACTACTAGTCTATATCTAATGGTACTTGAGAATATAATTTTGGGTTCAATGTTGACACAGGAGGAGGTATTTGAGTTAAAGAGGGCATATCCGTGGTATTCAAAGTTTCCTACTTTTTCCTTCTATTAACATATCCTGAATTCTATTAAACTGAAAAATAGGTTTCAAAAAGGATTATTTCAGCATTTGCTTTGCATGCATAATGATGAAATAACAAGAGATAAAATCTATCTACCTAATCTCAAACAAATTAATACCATACAAGCGATCAATACTCCGACTCAGCCCATACTAAGAATCAAGTTCAATTGTATCAGGATATGAGTCACTTATTGACATCCTCAATTTCCAATCCGTGACAAAAATTTATCAACAGGATCCAGATCAACCTCAACTTCATATAACATTAATCAAACAACCTGAAGACAATCACCATTCCTAACCATCCTTAATAACCGAATTTTGTAGTGAAATTCCTATCATTGGATTTTTTTTCTGTATATAATATGATTAGATGGTTACCGAGGCATAAGTTTCTGCGGAAAAAGGAACAGAACAACGAATACAGTCTCACATTAGCATCACAAAAACAGAAAGCACATACCAGCGTGTACTTCAGGTGTAGCAGCAGCTGTGGCATCAAGAACAACTGTAACAGATTTGTAATCCAAAGCTACACCATCAAACACAGTCTGCCTAATGCAGTTTGGAGTCTGAACACCTAAAAATACCAACACCAACAAATTACAACCTTACACAAAATACTAAAAACACCATTCTACAAAACAAACAAAGGGTCTTTCATAATTGAATATCTCACTTACCAGTGACAACCAAACTGTCAATTCCAGCACCCTTAAGAAATGAATCAAGATGTGTAGCAAAGAATGCACTAAACCGGGTCTTGACCAACTTATAATCCCCTTCTTGAATCACAAGCCCATCAACAAGTTCAGCACCAAACTGACCCTTAACGGTTGGACCAACCTTCCCAGCAGGATATAAGTGCCGGCGGAAAAGCTCAACATCTCTTCCTAGTGGGTCATGTTCACGCACAACCTACCAACATTAAAAATCAAATCAAAATACACTCTTTTTCTCAATTGCACATTAAAGTTTATCTTAGTGGCAGTAAAAATTGGAAGAAGAAAAGTTGGTACTTGGTATTAAAATCCTGGGTCTTGTGTTTTTCATTGTTCTAGTTAGCAGAAAGTGGAAAGTTCAACTAAAAACGAACAAGGGAATATGAAAGGCAGTTGGGTACCCAAACTACGAGCATGCCACGCTGCCTTGCGATTTGAACGGCCTTGATTACATTTGGGACTATGGCTTTGCCTCCACTGACTGGCATAGGACCATCCACATCCACGAAATCATGCTGCAAAACACAACCGCTTCAAAACCCAATTCATTTTATTTTGACAGAAATCAGAGTTTGGGGAGAGAGAAAGACCTGCATGTCAATTACAAGCAGAGCTGTGTGCTTCCATTTGTCTGCCATGTTTCAGAGACTCAGTTGGAGAAAGGAGGTTGACAACTCTGGTAGCTGCTGCCTGTTAAAGATATAACTCTGACCCAGCTCGGATGAAGGTCAGGGAAAAGGCCCCTTGTATACAATTTGGGCTAAGCCTCACCTAAACCCAAACCCTCAAAAGTAAAGATTTCATTTCACAGACGGCGAATGCAAATTCTCTCACAGCTAGACCCTCTCATTTTCTTTTCCCACTCTCCTTTTTATCTCCTCCTCAAATTGTATTGTATGCATTCAAGTTTATAACAGCTTATTTTTGTTTTGATATGTTCGGCTCGTAAATCTTGTGACTACGAAACAGCTTGAGCAGAACTCCGGGAGGCAAGGGCAGTTACTGTTCATGTGAATGGTAATTGCCTTAGTAAATTTTTTTTTATGCATTCCCACCCATTGTTATGGCAATTCAAAGGTAACCACTATTAACATGAGATATAAAGAGAGAAATTTGTATGGAGTTTTGGTGTGGAAAGTGAAGAATATGGCTAGGTATTTATAGGAAAAATTTCTGAATTCTTGAATATTTTTTTTTTTTTTTTTTTTTTTTTTTTTTTTTTTTTTTTTTTTTTTTCAAGAGTATGTAAAAGCCAGTTGGTATATCATATATGCATAGGATTAAGCTGATGATGCAGATGAATACAAAAAGGTTAATAGCTAGGCAGATGAAAGTCGGGGCATTCACACAAATACCCATATCCAAGCACAAGGAATCAAACAGCTAGGAGCCAGCTTTTACATCATCAAAGTGACCCAAAAGACAAAGAGTACCATATATATATATATATAGTACATCTATGGATATCGTGAGGGAAGAAGAGTACAGTAAGTTTGTAACTTGGTTTAGGCACCACATAGATTCGGCATCATCATCCCTTGCATGCCCTCATCCTCTAGGATTTGGGGTCGCAGCTATTGCCTAAGATAGGACTTGCACTTGGAGAATGGTTGGGCCACGCTGTCATCTATGCGGACGGCAATAAAGTTACTAAAGTCACCGAAAATAGTCAAAACTATTTGTAGCAGATTATTGTCTAGTAGATCTCTATATATTCTTCATATCCAAGCAGGAGTTCGGTCAGTTGGTTAAGACAGTGAATCCGTCCTCTTGCATCTAAGTTCGAGTCCCCTTCGCCGTAAAAAAGACTAATTTAGAATATTTTAACTATCGCTTGTATTAAATAAATAAATAAAAGTAGATTTCACATTTATTAATGATTTGGTATACAATTTTATGTTGTGTCGAGGGTTTCACTTATGTTAATAATTTTTATCCACAATTTTATGTCATGTTACGAGTCTACCCCAATTATAACAGTGTACAATAATTGTACCATAAACCCTTGATGACATATTTCTACACCGAAAAAATGCAACTTAATCGAATGTCTCTTTCTCTGGTTTGGCCCTTTATTTTTGTTGCCTCAGCACAACAATTAATTAAACCCCCTAATCCTAGATTTGATTCTAAGAAGTAGAGATCAGATATGCAAAATATATCCAATTCAAGAAAATGGATGGCGATGTGCCAATATACATAATAGATTAAAGATAGCTAGGGTCACAGTCACAGAGTAATTATACTATTGCGTCAAATAACGCCTGATTGCAATTTTGAGTGAAGACGTAAAGTGTATGTTATATATACAAACTGTAGTTAAAATCAACATATAACATTCCAAAATCACCAAGGGGCAACGTACAAATGAATTAATATTTGGGATAGTAACTTCCAAATGTGTACCTGTGTGACAGCTAAGTATGAATAATTAATCTAATCAATCCTATGTATCACCCTAATTATGGAGAATTAAGAAATTAAGTGGAGATGATGTGTCAAAGAATGCCCTAAACTGGATCTTGACTCTTGACCAAGTTATTATGGTCTTCTTGAATAGTTAATTAGGCCATCGACCAATTCTTCTCTAACACTATTTTGCTTTTCTTGACCATAATTTATTAGGGAGGGAGAAATTGAACCTATAACATCATATGCAAGAATAAATATTCTTAACTACTTGAACTACAAGTCTCTTACTGCATTACAAAGAGTGGTTTTACTTAAGTAAGGATTAAAGAGACCTACGATACTATAGTACTTTTAGATGAGGTTGAAGTCGTTACAATTAGCTTATAACATATTTATTTTAATATAATTGTATCATAAGAAGCTAATTAAAATATGTCAAATGTGTCATTATTTTGGTACAAGTACCTAAGTTATATTTCTTCTACGTCACATGCATGCTGACCCTTGCCATATAGAAGGGATTGAGGCGATGGGAACCTGTCACTATTAACTTGAACCTAATTTGTTATGTTCATTCCTCTCATATTACATGACTATACAGATCCCACATGTGTGTGTTTGTCTGGCATTGGTCTTTCACATAGGGAGGCCAAGTATAAAGGGTCAGAAGAAGTCTACTTGAAATTAATCTAAAATGACTACAAGTTCTATATCTTCACACACTGTACTCTTTTTCCTTCATCTAGGTTTTTGTCCTATTGGGTTTTTCTTGGCAAGATTTTAACAAGGCAGTATCGCACGCATGTCAGTGTTCTATACACGGAATTTTGTATTACATAGTTATATACTTTTTTTCCCTTCAACTAGTTTTTGTCCCACTGAGTTTTACCAGCAAGGTTTTTAATGAGGCATATTCTATGTATGGTGGACATTCAAGGGGGAGTGTTGTAAATCCAAAATTAAGATGGATGCCCACCATTCCTACTATATCTTCCTCCCTAACTATGCAATATGTATGTAAAAGTACCAAACCTATCAATGTGATTGAAGCCTACCACTTATGGTAGTAATTTTTATGTATTTTCCTATGCCTATAAATAGGCCTCTAAGATTAATGAGAAAGAATAAGAAGAACAGAAAAGATGAAGCTCACGGTGCACCTCTTGATAATCACTGTTTCCTTCCTCTAAATTCTCTCCAAATTTTCCTAAGTTTATAACAGTTTCGTTATTTTCCACTTTCTCAGTTCCTGCATTTGGCCTACCCTCATTTTCAACATAAATATAAGGTCCTCTGCACAAATGTTAGCTACCCTCAACGTTTCCTTTGCAACAATGGAGTTGTATCTCCCATGCCTAAACACTGCCATAGCTGGAATCTTAGCCATACTTGTGTTTTCCTACTTTATCAAAAAGAGATCAAGCTCTGGTACCAAAGCCAAGGGTCCCAAACCACCAAAAGCGGAAGGTGGGTGGCCTCTGCTAGGTCATCTCGACCTATTCGGTGGATCTCAGCTTCCTCACATAGCTTTGGCTTCCTTGGTTGGCAAGTATGGACCAATCTTCACCGTCAATATTGGCATGCACTCTGCTCTGGTGATAAGTACTTGGGAGGCGGCCAAGGATTGCTTCACCACAAACGATATAGCTGTTTCCTCCCGTCCCGCTAGGCTAGGGATTAAACACTTGAGCTACAACTTTGCCATGTTCGGGTTTAGTCCCTACGGTCCATACTGGCGTGAAATTCGCAAACTGACATCCCTCGAGCTACTCTCAAACCGTAGGCTTGAGCTACTGAGAAACGTTAGAGCATCCGAAGTAGAGATGAGCTTAAAAGAGCTGTACACTCTATGGAGCAACAGAAAGGAAGCGTCGGGGGAGCTTTTGGTGGAGATGAAGCAGTGGTTTGGAGGTTTGACTCTAAATGTGGTTTTTAGGATGATTGTGGAAAGAGATGCTCTATGAATGGGGATTTGAGTGAGGAGAAGGAGGCAAGGAGGTGGCAAAAAGCCATGGGGGAGTTCTTTCATTTTCTGGGATTGTTTCTGTTGGGGGATGCTTTTCCTTGGCTTAGTTGGTTGGATTTGGGTGGACAGCAGAAGGCCATGAAGAGAACTGCCAAAGAACTGGACAGTATTCTTGCGGAATGGTTGGAGGAGCACAAGCAGAAAAGAACTAAAGGAAAAGATCAAGATTTCATAGATGTGATGCTTTCAGCCATCGATGGAACACATGTTGCTGGCTTCGATGCTGATACCGTCATCAAAGCAACATGTTTGGTATATTATATATACATGATAATTTTATTTTATTTTTACAATAATGACCTCAATGGTAAATTTGTTTTATTAATCACCAAAGTTTTGATTGTGCAGACTATGATTTCTGGAGGGAGTGACACAACCATGGTAACCCTGACGTGGACACTCTCTTTGCTTTTGAACAACCGCCAAGTTTTGAAGAAAGTTTATGAAGAACTTGACCAGCAGGTTGGCAAAACTAGACTGCTGAATGAGTCAGATATAAATAATCTGGTGTACCTGCCGGCCACTATTAAAGAATCAATGCGTTTATGCCCACCTGGTCCACTCTCAGTCCAGAGGGAGTTCAGAGAAGACTGTACCGTAGGAGGGTACCAGGTTCCAAAAGGCACATGGCTGCTAGTGAACCTGTGGAAGATCCAAACTGACCCTCGGGTTTGGGCCGACCCGATGGAGTTCAAGCCAGAGAGATTTCTCACTACTCATAAGGATGTTGATGTTAGGGGTCAGCAATTTGAGCTGATGCCGTTCGGGAGTGGTAGAAGAGTATGCCCTGGGATAAGTATGGGTCTTCAGACGACGCTTTTAACTTTAGCTAGTTTTCTTCATTCGTTTGATGTCACGACCCGAGGAAACGCAGCGGTTGATATGAGTGCAAGCGCTGGACTTACGAACAGGAAACTCACCCCTCTTGATGTCCTCATCAAACCACGCTTGTCTCCACATCTTTATGAATAAGTTCAGAATGAGAATATAGCTATATGTGAGAATAAATATAGTGATATAAAATAAAATGCACATGTGCATATATGTTCTGAATGTATTAAGCTAAAAAGCATGGCTTTACTAAATCTATCTTCTACTTATGAGCTTCATGTTCGTAAGTTTCCTCTACTTATGACAAATGGGTTCCAATTTTTAGTTAACATACATGCACAATGGAAAAAGTAATAGATGAACAAGAAGAAAATTTGGTCATGCAGCTTGCCACCTGGGAGCTTCATATACTTATTGATGATGCCTGCCTTGTGCTCTCAATGGATTATGGGCTCAAAGTATAGAACAAAGCTGAGGCAGAGGTATAACCTGGTAGAAGCTCCATACAACAGATATGATCTCCCATGTCTTTTGTTCTTGTTGTTTTCTCTGTCAGAATTCAGACTGCTCAGAAACAGAGGATTTGATCCTGCTCTAGGTATCCACCACAGAACTAGTCCAGTGCTTCACACTCATTTATATTTGATAGATGAAAAATCATATAGCAAATTCGATATCACCAATTTCTTCTCTATTAGTGTGAACCATGGACTAATGAGGTTTATAATGTTTGCTTTACAAATAACCAAAAGCATTTTTGGACTAATTTTTCTCAAACAAAATAATTATTGGTGAACTTTCAGCAAAGAAGTCATAATGATATTTGTTGAATATTATCTGCAGGATGGAATGGAATTCTTGTTAAACGGACTGAGGACAGAACCACAGAAATTCCTCCTCGGACTCAAGCCATGTATAAGTGAAAGTTTTTGTCACCCCTAGAAAGTATATCCTTTTTTTGCTCTTCTTTCAACTGTGGGTTATGTTTATAAGCTTATAATGTGATTTCTAAGGTCGATTCGCTTGTTGTTGTAACTTGTTATACTACCCCATTCTCATAGCTTGTGCCCTTTCTGTTAATTGCAGCAATGTAAGTAAAGTTGTGCAGTATCTATGCCAATGATTGTTTTATATAAAGTGAGTCTCCAATCCTTAAAGTATCAGATAATTACTTAAAGAGAGAATAGTTTTCTGATGGATAGCTTCTCCTCTTTAAGTGCTGGAGAGAAGGAAGTGAATTAGAAAAAAAAATGTGCATTATGGTGTAACTAATGGAACATGTGTTTTTCAAGCTGATTTTACTTCCAAGAAAAAAGAAGTGTGCTTCACTATGTTATACATGACCGAGCAGTTGCTGTGTCCGCGATCATACCTGACTGACCACAAAGAAGCAAAATTTAGGTGTTCAAACAGAAAAGAACAAGATAAATTAGCACAAGACTGAGATGAATTTAAAACTGTGATATATGAAAGTATATATATGTTCCTACATTTGGAGACTACAATTGATGATTTCTGGTCAAATCCAATAATGAGGGTAAGCATTGGGATGAAAAAGCCACCCCCACCAACACCTCCCACATTCCCAAATGCTGCTCCAACAAATGCAATCATCGTACCCACCGCGATTTTCCAGCCAAATCTGATATCCTGTATATGATCACCACTACAAAGTTTGAACTATTTGGAAGCACCATTTAAGACCTGCTATTCAGTTTTACCTACTAAAATGGACTGAAAAAAATATGAGTTTTTGTTAAGGTATATATAACAGGGACAGGGAGGTAGAAGATTTACAATAAAACAGTTTTTACATTCCAAATCGATCATCCTTGGGCAAGGCACATTTTCTCAGCAGCCTAACATGCATTTAGGCAACAAACCCAACTAAGGTAATAGAAAATTGGACGTACAGGCCACACATGCTTATAACCCAAGTGAGATTGAACCTCTTTTCCGGTAATATTCTGGCTTGAAGGTTGTGTGCCCAACATTTCTTCATGTGCTGAAACTGCTGCAGATGATAATGCTAATAAAACCAGAAAACCAACTCCAAACCAGGCATAAAGTTTAGCTTCAAAATTCTAACCCTTGCTTTTTAGCTTCCTTGGTTTCTGTTGTGCCATTGCTTGGGCCTCCAGGAATGTTTCTGTCTTCAACGTCTTCATTGCCATCACCTAACTAAGGAGCATGCGTTTTAGCCTAGCAACTGATAGTTCAAATATATCTGCGTCAAAACAGATGAAAGACATACTACCAAAGTGAAAGACATACTACCATTTGGTTGCAAGCGTTTTGGAAGCATCCAGTAATTCTGAAAGCAATAAAGCAAGGTACAATTGAGATGGATCAAGTAATGCAATCCCACAATATACAACTAGTCTTGAAACAAGCAAAATCAAAAGACCACTTTTTTAGTTATAGTTTCTTTCTTCCACATCTCAACTGCTTTAAAGAACGATTTTGTGGTTGTGCCTGCAGTTATATCATACATGAGGAAGTTGTCCAATTGTGAACTGGGAAGGTTGCAGCTCAGAAAAGTGTTACCTGAGGACAATAATTAATCAGTAAGGCGGTGATCATCCATTCAGAAAGAACACCACCAATTAAACTCCATTGCTAATCCCCACCACCAGCATTGGTTGAAATAGAAGTGCAAGATCATAATCGATGAGGGGCAACTCTATTGACGGATGCCTTTGCCTTAAATTGTAGAAGATAGTTGCAGCTGCTCCCCCTGTGCCATACCTGACCAACCAGACAAACATCCAAAATAGCCTACAGTTGTTTAATTGGAAAGCAAAAGGTAAACTAACAGACAATTTTTCTATGTATTAACTTATAAGATCAATTAAAACTAATAGCATACACATAATTAAGGCAAAAACAAATTAAACCTATCAGGATGTAGACTTAGGCAGCAGTTTTGGAACAACAAAACAGAAAAATTGATTGATGCATTATGGGCACTTTCATTAAACATGTCCCAGAACTCATTAGGAATTTGATCACACACCCATAAAAGCTAATGCATAACATTCAAGCAGAGAAAGCTAGAAATTCTTACAACTATAAAACTTGAATCTAAAGTTTTAGAAAGTTGGATAGTCTTGGGGGTGACTGAACTGTAATCGTGGAATTTCATCAAATCAATAATATTTGAGTTGAAAGTAAAGATGTATGAGGCTTGTTCAGACGGTGAAAACATAAAAACATGTGATCAAAGTACTTACAAGTTACATGTTGATATCGCCGTTGATGATTTCTGATCAAGCCCAATAATCAGGGTGAGCATTGGAACAAAAAAAGTCACCCCTCCAATACTTCCACGCTCCCAAATGCTGCCCCAACAAATACAATTATTGTATCCGCCAAATCTCATTTCTTGTGGCAAATTTTAATTATTTCTAACACTACGTACCACATTGTTTAGTAAGTACTATAGCTAGAGTTTTGCATGGTTTAATTATTTCAAATTTATTATTTGTACAACAGAGGTGGTTTGGGAGTCCTAAAATGCGAAGGACCTGTATTAATTCGGTTGAAACCTAGGGAAAAAAAAATGATTCTTGTAGTTTTCTTGTTTTATTACTTTGATTCTCTAGTTTCAATTTTGTCATTTTGTGCTTGGAGTTTTAAATCCCTCGCAATTCAAGGACACATTACAAATATGTCAAATTCCTTCGAATTTCGTCCAAATACCCCATACACATCAACACGTACTTATTAAGCAGCAAATTAGATTGAAATTTGGGCATGTCCTTGAATTGTGAGGATATCAAACTACAGGAGTCCAATTGCCACAATTGAAACCACATGGACAAAAGTAGAAAATCCGACAAACTGGAAGACATTTGCCCAACTTATTTTGGGCAACATCACGCACTGCTCTTTTTACAATTGACCTCAGCCTTCTCTCTTGTAGGGTTGGCAATGGGTTGTGTCGTGTCGTGTCGTGTCAAGATTATATAGTCAAAAATGCTCGACCCAAACCCGACCCATTTAATAAACGTGTCATTACGAGTTGACCCACTAATTTTCCATGTATGTTTGAGTCGTGTCTAGTTGACCCGCTAAATGGCAGAAAATAACAAAACAATAAAAATCCTAACTTTTGATAATGTAATCAAGTAGTTGCCATTTTTTATTTTTATATAAAATATTAATGTATTTTGACTCTCTCTATGTTTAAGCATATGGTTGTTTTTCATTTCCTCTCTCAATGTCATTCTTGGACAATCACTTTTTCTCAACTATATCCCTTTGATATAGCTACCTCAAACCAATTGCTCTTAAACATATTAAACTTCTCTAGCACCTTTTCAACGTAGGCTTTCTTTGACAAGCCTAACAAACCCTTAGCTTCATTTTTTTTTTTTTTTTTTTTTTTGGGGAATATGGATGAATATCATAAAAACAGGCAACAAACTAAGAGAAGTACACAGCCTATGAAGCAGCTAGGCACAACGAACAACAAGAAATAAAAACAGCACAGCTACATGGAAGGAGGACTAATATAAAAGACGTAGTCATAAGACAAATGGATACGTCGAGAAGCCCACACAACCGCAATCATTAAGCACTCCTTGGGGGGCATGGTAAACCATCCTTGTTTAGGATATGCATTAGAGAGGATGGGGGCCGGGCTTAGCTTCATCTCTATGAATCTCAATTCCTATTATATAAGAATCCAAAATCTTTCATCTCAAATTCATAGACATAAATTCCTTGCTTTCATGTAAGAGACTTTCATCACTGCTAGCAAGTAGAATGTCATCTATATAAAGGAAGATAAACCTACTCCCCACTGTTTTTCAAAGCATATGCACTCTTCCAATCTATTCTCAATGAAATCATATGGTGTAACTATCTTATCAAACTTCAAATACCATTGCTTTGAGGCTTGTTTCAAACCATAGATTGTTTTCTTTAGTTGCACTGCAACTGCTCGCTTTCTTTTATAAATCCCTCAAGTTGTTGCATGAGATCTTTTCACTCAATTCTCCATAAAAAGTTGTTTTTTGCATCCTTGATATAAAAATATATCACAAGTTTGTTATAAGTGCCATAATAATTCTAAAGGCATTTTTGGTTGAAACTGGTGAGAAAGTTTCATTGTAATTGATTCCTTCTTGTTGGTTAAAAACCTTGGCCATTAGCCTAGCTTTATGCCTCTCAATAGCCCGCGGATCTCTTTTGGTCTTAAGCACCCACTTACATCCTAGAGGCTTCATTCCTTGTTGCAATTCAAAATAACTCTCCCACACTTCATTGGTTTTCATAGACTCTAGCTCACTCTGCATAGCCTCAAGTCATTTCTCAGGGTGTTCACTAGACATGGCTTGCTTGTAATCATTTGATCCTTTAACTCAAAACCTTCAACATATGCCTCATTTAAAGAAACAAAATATGTTAGTGCATTAGGTCTTCTTTCCCTTTAGGATCTTTTAACTTCTTCTTGTTGTGGTTGTGGCTCTAGGCATCTCAACCTCATTTGGTTCTTCATGAATATATCTAATCTTTTGGTTTTGAGTTTTAGGCTCAATTGGAGTCTCAGTTTGTGACAAGGTTTGAATCAATAGATAAGTTATGACTGGATTGTTTGTATTGAGAGGTTCTACTCCTATTTATCCTCTTCTTCAAAACCAATTTTTTTATTTGTTCCTTAACTATCCTCATCATGCTATAGGAACTTGGCCTTCCCTGTCTCAACAATTCTATTGATGTGGTTGGGGCAATAGAAACGAAAACTATTTGATCTCTCTGCATACCCTATAAACATGCAACTTACAGTTTTTGGATCTAATTTTCCCGACTTTGGATTGTAATACCTTGGCTTTAGCTTTACAACCGTAGACATGCAAATGGTTTAAGGCTTAAGCTAGGTTCCTCATATTCCATAGCTCAAAGAGAGTCCTTAGGGAACTGACTTACTTTGAGACCTGTTTTAGGATGTAATTAGTTTTTAATTCCTCTCCCCATAGAAACCTTGGAAGATCAATGCTGTAAAAATCATGTTTCTCACCATATCTTTCAAGTTTTATTCCTTCTCTCATATACTCTATTTCCTCTTGAGGTGTTTCCCAGGTTTGTGTATTGTGAACTATCCATAGTCTTGAAGATATAGTGCAATGGTGAGGGTGTCTACCTTGAGCATATTTTTCATAATATTCTCCTCCTTGATCAAATCTTAGAACTTTAATCTTATAACTCAAGTTGGTTTTCTACTTTTCTACTTCAATTTTAAAGACTTTGAAAGCCTCAAATGCACTAATGTGGTTGGATTAGACAGAGATAATAGAATCTTGAGAATTATCAATTAAGGTGATCAATTACAGTCCTTCCAGAGTTTCATTTGGGAAAGGGACCACAAATGTCAGTGTGAAATTACTCTAGAAGTTGTTGACTACGTGTGATCCTAGCATTCTTGAGTTAGTCGTTTTGCCCTTATTGCACTCAATGCATTCACTAAAAAGTCTGAAAATCCAAAGAAGGAAGAATTCCTTCGTGGATTTGTTCTTTTCTTAGACACATGGCGTAGTCTTTTGTGCCATAAACTTGGTCAATTTTTCATTGCTCTAGTTATTTATTTTTGGCCTATAGTTTCAATGTGAAGGGTAACATTATTACGTGCACCATTCAAACGAAACAACCCTCAAATCAAAGAAGCCCACTGCCCAGTGAACTTTTATTGAAAATCAAAGAAAAATCCTACCTTAGAAAAAAAAAAAATGGAATGTTCCTCGTTAATCTAGATGAAACAACTCCTCCACATAGAAGGACATAAGCAACTCTTTCAAAACTAAAGAAGAACCGAAACTAGTTGAAGCCTAATTGATCGTAATGCATGAACTGGAACTTTTTGCCATTCCCTATGAAGACATGTCTTGGTCTGTACTTAGTTTCCTCTGGCTTACGAAATCCTGTAAGGAATTAGCAATGTGGATTGGTGATCGAGTGTCAATCCACTAGGAATTAGAAAGGACAATGACAAAACTAGAGTCAAAGAAAACTAGGACAAAATTAAGACTACCTTTAGTTCCCTTTTGCTCTACGTACCCAACGTTTATACCTATTGCAATCTCTCTGTAAGTGGCTGCCTTGTCACAAAAGTAACACTTAAATGTGGTTGTTTGTTGGAATTTAAAGGGTTATAACTTTTAGGAGGAGGATTAGCCTTGGTGTTGTCCTTATTGGCAACAACATGTGAACTTGGCTTAAAGTGATGTTGTTTGTGGGCATTGGTGGTGAGGTGTGAGGTATTGGCCTCTTTTTCCTTCTTGATTCGAGCCGCCTCATGAACATAGAATGAGATCATCTCTCATTGAGATCCCATTTATCTTTTTGAGCATTGTAATTCACTTTGAGATGACCATATGACGAAGGGATGGAGTTAAAGGCAAGGTGAACCAGAAAAGGATCGGTTATAGGAAAGTCAAGGGCCTTTGCTAGCTACCTCTATCATACTTAGAAGATACACTCCCAAATCCTTCACACCATCATACTTCATTGTAGCTAGCCTGTTCATCAAATTCCCAGTCTCAGCCTTCTTCGATTCCTTAAATTTTTGACTCACAACCTCCAAGTACTCCTTAGCATTCTCAGAGTGAGGAATGTCACCACAAATAGCTTCAGTCGTGGACTTCTGTATTAAACCATGACATCTTTCATGGGTTGTTAACTTTATGTGAAATTTTGATCAGTGAAGGGCGAGAGGTGCAACATCCCTGGACCCATTGTCTAGGGGGCCCAATTTTGTTTTCTTTTTTAATATATGTATTTAATATTCATTTAATATATTATATATTCATGAAATATTTTCAGGAAAATGAAAATGGATAAGTTCAGGTTTCTTGAGATAACATTGGAACGCGTGAAACTCCTCTTCTGCATTGTTGCACTGCACCACTTCCACTCCTCAAGGTTTAATGTTCGATTTTTCCTGTTATAATTCATTAATATTTATCTTGAATGTTATATTTCTAGTTAACTTTGAGTATGTTAATTTTTCTTGATTTTGCTTAAAAAATGAGAGTGAATCTAGCACATAAGTTTTATAATATAAAAAATTGTGACAGAGTAATTCTTTACTTTTGCTCTGAGGTAGGGTTTGTGCTTATGATTTGTGTATGAGATTGAGAACCTAAACCTTGTATTTATATAGGAGAGTGCTTGAGATTTCTTGCCAATGAAGAAATCCTAAGCATCTTTCTCACCTCTACAATCCATAACCCAATAGGAAAGATAGCTCCTATTAGTTTGATATTTCTTCACTTAGAAGTACAGCTATGAATTAACCTTCCTCTTTTATCCTTGACAGATTTGGTGTCTTAAGTGGATGTAAACTAATAAGTCCCTTACACAAACATTTTGACTACAAGGCTTGAGTTGAAATAATGGTTAAGAGAAGTTATCATATACCAAATCGTTGTTTTCGATTCTCCCCGCTAGGTTGACATTCAAAATCGTGTTTTCAATTCTCCCAGCTAGGTTGACATTGACAACAGCATGGTTTTATTGCCATTCTGGGCCTTCTTTGGGAATCAGGCTTGTAACCTAAAGGTTATATGACTCGAGCGGGGAAAAAAACACCCCATCAACATGTAGCCAAGTATATATTCTTCAATGAATCAAATACAAGTAGTCAATTGAGTCTTAATTATATTTGTTGCTTTGTTAGCTGTCCTTTAATTTAAACCTAATATTTTGAATGTCAAAAATTTATGAAAGCTATTGGTTGGGTTGGGGTCTTGAGATTCTTCTTTCTCCTTTTTATTCTTTTTTAAAATATTATCCGTTTGTTTTTAAAAACAAAAAAAATATACACTAAATCAGTTTGGGGTTAAAATCTTCAAATTTGGCACCGTTTCGTATGTTTCTTTTTTGTAATCACTGATTCGTGAGTCTCTGAGCCCTTTTGAGGAGCGTGTGTGTGTGTGAAACAACTGAGACGTTTTCTTTTTTCGATTTCTATATACATTGTAACCCAACAATGCAACAAAAAATTTGAATAAATCGGAAATATTCACAAATTCAGAAAAATGCACTAATTTCTTAGGTTTTAGGATGTTGGAGATGTCAGCAATTCCTTGCAACCCCCAAGGCCCTGGGACAGGCGGACGTGGAGGTTGTGGGGCCTGAGGGTTAGCTTTAAGTGTCCAAAAGACACCGAAAGTGGGTCGCATAAAATAAATCATTTTGCGATTTGGATCAATCCAATCATCATCATCATTCTGCACACCTCCAACGCCATGAGGGAATTGCCATTAGCATTAATAAATTGAAGAAGGAAGAGGAGAAGCTTTGCCTTACAATTAGACGAACTAGCGTGTAAGGAAGAGCATGATTGATTGCTATACTGATGAAATGAGTGGACTCGATTCGCTTTATGAAGAGAACGACAGCAAGTTTTAATGTTAAATTTTCGCAACCTTGTATATCTGAAAGCCTGTGTTGTGTTTTATGATTGCTTCAATCCATGAAACCTTTAGCGGTTACATTCTGAGAGTTTATCCATGCTTCCTGTTTCTTTTTTTTTTTCTTTTTTAATTTAATAGGAACGGAGGGGCGTTTCGAATTTGGGATCTCTTCAACATTGTGAAAGAATAAATACCAGAATACCAATAAATAACACTCTAGTCCTCAGATTAATACTTATATTAATATATTATATATATATAAAGGTGCACACGGAAAATATAATGTTCTCACATATATATTATTACAAGTTTTGCTACGCGCTCCCATTATGATGTATACTAAATTAAAAAAAAATTTCATATTCAGTTTGGGAGCCCTCTCGAAACCTTATTCAATGAGAAAATTTTTGATCTGATTTTTGTGATGAGCATACTGTTATTAATTATGGGTAAGGCCTTTTTTGTTTTTAAATTGTTGGAAGAATGATTCAAATTTGAACTCTCACTGTGGGGAATAGGACATACCACACACAAGAGTACGTTAAAAGCGGTTGGGTACATCTATTATGCATGGTTAGGCTATGAGCAATGCATACAAATAGGCTAAGGGCTAGGCAGCAGATGTAATTTGGTTGGGCATTCAACCACAAATACACCTCATCCAAGCACACGGAATCCAACAGCTAGGAGACAGCTTTTACATCATTACAGTGGACCCAAACGACAAAGTAACCATATATAAATAAATATATAGATAGATATATATTACTTACAATCTATGGAATCGTGGGGAAGAAGAGTAGTAAGTTTGTAACTGGTTTAGGCACCACATGATTCAGCACTTCATCTCCTTTGCCATACCCTCATCCTCGGGCTTGGGGTCGCACTATGTCTAAGATAGGACTTGCACTTGTTCATCTAGGGTTACCACTATACGGACGGCAAAATAGTAAAAACTATTTGTACAATTTTATCGACTAGATCTCTATATAATTAGTCATATGCCGGGAGTGAGTTCAGTCAGTTGGTTTAGGATAGTGAGTCTGTCCCTATTGCACCTAAGTTCGAGTTCCCCCTCCCCGAAATAGATTCATTTACATATTCAAACTATCGCTTGTATTAAATAAAATAAATCAATAATTTTCACTCTATTAATGGTTTTGGTCTACATTATTTGGATGTTGGTTGTTTTTCGAGGTTTTCACCTTCTGTTGATGAGTTTGATTTTAATATTTGATTCATAATTTTAATGTCATGTGAGGTTCGGTTCGTTACCCAAATTATAACAATATACACTAATTGTCCATAAAACCCTTGACGACATATTCCTATCTACACCGAAAAAATGCAACTTATCGATTGTCGCTTTCTCTGGTTTGGTCCTTTATTTTGTTGCTCCGCACACCAATTAATTAAACCCCTAATCCTAGATTGTTCTAGAAAGTAGAGAGATCAGATATCCAAATATATCCATTCAAGAAAAATGGATGGTGAGTGCCCAATTAATAATAGATTAAGAAGCTAGCGGTCACCAGGCGCATAGAATATTATACTATTGCGTCAAATAACGCCTGATGAATTGGGAATGAAGACGGTCAAAACACGAATAAACGCCCGATGCAATTTTGGGAATGAAGACGTAAGTATATATATATACACTATAGTTAAAATCAACATATACCATTCCAAAATAGCACCAAGGGGCACGTACAAATGAATTATATTTGGGATATCGCTTGAATGTGTACCTGGTGACAGCTACGTTGCCTATAATACTCTACTCATATCATCCTATGTATGTATCACCCTAATTACGGAAATTAAGAAAAAATGAAGGGATGTGTCAAAGTAGAATGCCCTAAACTGGTTGTCTTGACTCCTGACCAATTATTATGGTCCACTGGTTTCATAGTGTAGTAGGCCATGACCAATTTCCCCTCCACCGCGTATTTTTTTTTTTTGACCATTACTTATTACGGAGGGGGAAATCAAACCTAGACAATCATATAATGAGTAATATTCTTAACAACTTGAGCTACAAGTCGCAATTGCATTACAGAAAGTGATGTTACTTCAAGTAAGGATTAAGGGTAATTACGATACTATAGTACTTTTAGATGAGTTAATCATTACATAGCTATAAAATATTCATTTTCATATAATTGTACATAAGAAGTATTAAAATATGGTCAAAGGTGTCATTACTTTGGTACAGTACCTAAGTTAAGTTATATTTCTTCTACGTCACATGCATGCTGGACCTTGCATATAGAAGGGATTGAGGCGATGGGAAGCTGTCAATATTAACGTGACACCTAATGCTTTGATTATTCTCTCATATTACATGACTTACAGATTTTTAATCATGTCCTTTTCATGAACTAACCTAGACGACGAGAAATGCAATGTAGTGTTTCACATTCTAAGAAATAATTTATAGTCTAAAAACATAAACATTTCATTCATTAACAATAGGGAACCACTCTAAAAACAACGGTCGAGCTCTAGGCTCCAAGGCAAAATTTAGAAACAAATAGGTTATTGTTAATTTTAGGGAAGTTAACCATCAGGGAAACTAACCCATCCTATTCCCGAAAAAAATAGTACACTCCACTTTAGCAGCTCCTTAAACGGTCGAAAAAAATAGGTTATTACCCACACCACTACGAACATTCTTGATTCCCACATTTTTTGTATAAACACGTGTTTCTTCATAGTACTTGACCCATTGTTTTAACATTCGTGACTACATTTTCTGTTTTGTCTTCATCTCACACAAGCCGACCCTCTTGAACGTGGTTCTCCATTTTATCCTATATATTATAATATATATAATTATGAACAGTCAAGGTAAAACGAGAGAACCAGTGATACACTTGTCAATTTCAACCCAAATGCTGGCCATTTGACTACTACGAGACATTTAGTTAAAAATGAAACGTTTCAATCCAAACAAACCCACTTGGGAGTGTAGCACCAAACCCCACACACACAACCCCACCACCCCCACACCCCGAACAAAAAAACTAGCATGGGAAAATAATTCATGTTTCTAATGAAACTCTGGCATTTGGAAGAGAAAATGTGATTTGAATTCAGGCAAATATTGTCTGTACAAATTAATGTGAGATGCGTTTCTGTCAGAAACTAAATATTATAATAAGACCAAGTAATTTAAGTTGATTATTATAAACAGAACCATTAAGGTCCTTTTATTCAAACAGGATTTGTCGAAAAAAGAACCGCGCATTATGAACCGTCTAGTTCTGATAGCTCAATAAATACACATATACATTTTTCAAACAATATTAACGCAGA